GGGGGGGGGGCAGTTCTGTTTGCAGATGTGATGTGATGTATTGATGTGCGAGGCCAGACAAAGTGCCAGAGTCATTTATCAGGGAGGAAGTCAGGTGCACAGGGCGCACCACTAATTACAGCCTCCACGACAGGCTGAGCCAGAAACAGTAAAACATCAGTTCACCTTAAATTACAAAATCTCATTTAGACGTGTCGACTTTTCCGCTACAGTTTAGAGATAGCTTCCTGTAAGGTTCCTGTTAGCGCCCCGGCGAGACGGGACTAATTCATCATCACTGCTGTTCAAACAGACAGGAAAAGACAAATAAGAGCAGCGGAGCTTTAGGAACCCAGGAGAGGATGTTGATCCTTTAATGAGGATCACCACCTGCTGACCGATACAGGAGGAAGCGTCTGATTTGAATATTTCAAAATGTCCTAATGTGTTTGTTGTTTTTAAATCCATTAAAAAAAATCTAAATTAAAATGACATTCTTGAGCGGCTGGATTTCTAAAATGTGTTTTTTTTAACCACATGTTGAGAGCATTAGTATAAAAATGAGACATTGTTGAATTGCCAATGTTGCCTAGCAACAGATTGGTATACGCTTATAGGGCTTTTGTTATAATTCCGTATGGTTCACAGCTTTATCTCCCCCTAAATCCCACAGGCTGATACAGCTGCGATGTTGTTAAATCCCACAGGCTGATACAGCTGCGAAGTTGTCATGTTATAAATTTAATATCCCCAATTTTTTTTAGTGACTAAGATCTGAAATCCTTTTAAAATTTAAACCTTTTCCTAAAATCTTAAACTTTGTTGACGCCCCCTTTTGTACCAAGTAAAACCAAGGCTCCACGACACCAACAGGAAGCTCACAGAGAAGCAGCTTTTTGCTCCTCATTTTCACTTGATGGTTAAAACCTAAGTGTGAAGACGCTCTGTGCTCTGAGGTCTGACTGCACTGCAAAGTGTTGTATTACTACTGTTTCAAATAACTGTGACAAAGTGCAGCATTTATTCAAGTGAAAAAAACTGTCAAAAGTGGTTTTATAACTTTTTTGAGGAGGACTTTTTTTTTTCTCTTTACAGTGGTTTCATTAACATCAAATAACCTCGGCATCCACAAATAATTTCAGAGTGTGAAATGGAATAATAATTGGATTCCTGGCTTTGAGTGAAACGTGCAGTAAACGATTCTGAACTTCCCGGGCCAACTGCTTGGACATAAAGGGATTTTTTGTATTTTTTTTAACAAAAACTATTTTGATTTGGTTATATTTATCCATCAGATGGAGATGGGAAGATATTCTGGTTTATTTAATCCTTTAACATCAATGCTTTAAGATTGTTCTGACGCCGTCCTGTGTTTGTCTTCAGACAACCCCCGTCAGAGCAGCCACGTCCCGGTCTACATCCAGGTGTTGGACATCAACGACAACCCTCCGACCTTTGCCACCGTTTATGAAACCTTCGTCTGTGAAAGAACCAAGGCTGGACAGGTACGGTGGTGTAATCACTCTGAACTGTTGACCAGACGTGAGCAAGGTCACGATTGGTTCTCCTTCATCCAATCAGAACCTGTGGCTACGGTGCGTTATTTCCACAGCAGTTTTAGCACAGCGGCGTGATTAATGTTCACACCCAGCGAAGCACGGTGACGAGCGGAGGAGCTCAGGACCCAAGTGTTAATTAGATAATACTGTAATACGTTAAAACAAAAGTTGGAGTTTAAGAAGTCCACGTCCTGGTCTTCTTCAGGAGATTCTGTTCAAAAGGAGTTTGAGTTTGGAGTTTCCATCCTCACAGTTTACATCTGAGGTGATTAACCTCTTGATTAAACTCTTTTTTTTTCTTCAGTTTTTATGGCAGAATTTCTCTGCGTACAGTTTCAAACCCAGGCTGTTTGTTCAACAATAATCTCATTATCATTACCGTGGCTGTGAGGATTTGTACAGAAGCTGTTAATTACTGTGCATTCTCAGCCAGGAACGCAGAAGAGAAAGTCGATTGATTTGTAAAGTAACAAACAGTAAAGTTCACGTCATTAACGTCTTCTTCAAGGCAGTGGGTGAATGTGAGTGTGAACGGTTGTTTGACTCCACTGTATGTGCTGGGATTGGCTCCACCTCCCACAGTCACTCTGACCAGGTTTGAACAGAAGAAGAATGAATGATGATGATGATGATGATGATGAAGGTTTGTGAATAAACATCACAGTTTTATTCAGTCCATTTATATGAGGTGCCTCCTGCTCCGTCTCTGCTTCAGTCTTAATCCTCGCTCTGTAAAACCCTCCTGGTCGTCTTCCAGGCTCTTACCCAGAAACCACTGCCCACGACAGAGAGCGTTTTGTCCATTTCTCCTAAACAGGACATGCTCGAAGACTTAAATGACCTCCGCTGCTGTACGAGCCGGCCGGCTTCTGAGCTTCAGCCCGCGCACAGCAGGTGGCACCGCAGTTAATGTGCGATGATGCTTTTATGAATCACTTATAGGATTTTCCAAACCCAAGAGGCTAAAGTGAGCGGCTAATCCCCTTTTATGAAGAGGAAATGCCTCATTCACACACAGTCGACCCCGGTGACCCCAGTGACCCCGCTGGTGGGTCTGACAAATGTAGGCCAACATGTTTCCTGCTTTCATTAGGAGCCAATGAAGCAGCTCCAGTGGAGACATACAGTAGATCACAGTGACAGGCCGTGCTAACAGAAGGAAAACTGAGGACACACTGAGGACTGAGTGTTTGGACATCTGTGTCTTTATGTCAAAGTGTTCCAGCTGACTGTCCAGAGACTGTGATGTCACTGTCCTCCGCTCTGGACATTAGGTTTGGACGAGGGTTAACGCCGATGAAGTTTTAATTTGAAATGTAATAGAACCCAATCAATGACATGCTGCGTAATTGATGAGTTAATATTCATCAGCTGCTCTGGGCCGGCCGGCCGAGGATTAATACAGATGCAGGTGATAATTAAGAGGAGAGACACGAAGAGAGATGCAGCGAGCAGCTCCGCTCGTCTGGCTCTTTTCTTGTTTTACTGCACTTTATCTGCAGTCACTTATTCTCTCAACGCTCTGTGCCACTTCATTATTATTTTGTAGGCTTTCTTTCCTCTGTAACTGTAGAGGCTGCGACTCCTTTCTCCAAATGGCTGCTTTTCATGAGGCTATAGTTGCAGAAAATTATGCAACGTTTTTGGAAAGTTTTTTTTTTTTTTTTTTTGCAAGGTTCCCGCCAGAAAAAAAAAAGTTTGTCGTCGTTTGATTTAGTGTCTTTTTCAGTAAATAATGAAGATTTAGCTCAAACACCTTGAATATAGTTGTTGGTCTCGGAAAGAAAAGGAAATTCTCGAAAAGGATTTTCAATATTGCCGTGTGTGTGTCTGTGTGGAACTGAACTGCTGTGAAATCAGAGAAAATATGAAGGTTTTAATCAAACGTCTTTAAACAAAAGAACCAGTGAAATGAAATGATCAAGGATAGAATCACTGACGGTTTGATAAAGCTTTTCTCAAAACTGAAAGAACATCTGAAAGGAGCTGGATTTCAGTCTTTAGACGAAGATGCAGGTGTTGACCTGGTCAACCACATCCACCAGACCTGCAGAAGGACGGCTAAGAGAATTATTTGTGGTTTTGGTTTCTTAAGACCAATCTTTTCTCCAGAGATTTCTTGGATTTTCATCCATTCTACATACTGTATTTCAGGAGATGATCTTGTTTTATTTTTATGTTTTTGTCACCTGTATTTGCCACACACACATCGATGCTCTCCTCCTCTGTGGCTCTAATCTCTGCACGTCTCTGTCATCCTGTCACCAGTTCATCCGTTAATTCCTCCGTCCATCAGTGATAGTCATCAGTGTTTGTTCTAATGTCATCGGCCTCTGCCAACTGTTCCTGGATCTGTTTGCTGGATTTGTGCTCATGCATGTTGTTTGAAGCCTCTAATCTCCCTGCAAGCGTCTTTACACAGTTAAACAAGACTGAGTATTAAAAAGAGCCAGAGCCACAGAGCACCATTAGACCAGCACACTGTATAATCATGAGATGAAGGTCATGGAGGTCAGTGTCGGGGGGGAAACATCAGTTGTTGTTGTTGTTCAATACCAAAAGAACAATATATGGTTTTTGTATCAGTACAATTACTGAGTGAAGAAATCACAAGTAAAAGATCATTTATTTAATAATTAAATCATTTTTGGGGGTGTCTCACTTTGAGGCCACGGGCCGGAAGTTTGAGACTGTATTATAAAGATTGTTGTGTAAAAGTAAAGCAGAGAAAGAAGCAGCGTTTCTATTTCACTGAATTGATTTTTGATTAAATGAATAATCCAACCCAGACTGTAGGATCAGCTCCAAGAAAAATGGATCTCTTGAAAAGCCGCGTCTTTCACTCCACACTCATTTCTATTCATATTCTTATTCTTATTTAACCGTACTGTTCTTCAAAGACAAAGGACGCTGACGATGTCCAGACTTCACATCCCAGCAGTGAGTGGTGTCTCTGGACGTCGGAGCTCTTTCTCCACTCGTCACATTAATGGATGTGTTTGTCTCCAACAGCCGATCCAGACGGTCAGCGCCGTTGATGCGGATGAGCCGTCATCAGGACACAAGTTCTTCTTCAGTCTTGCCCCCGAGAAGATGCACCGAAGCAACTTCACCGTCCGAGACAATGGAGGTAGGTGACACCGGAGGAGACGATACTGAGGATCAGTATCGGTCTGATACAACTCTTACCTCAGTCCAAACTCAGCTTTTCACATGTCGTAAACCAGTTAACCAACTTTTGTTTTTTTTCATTTTCCACTAAAACAACACCAGTGGGGATCGGGGGGGGGCACAGAGAGTCAGAGATGATTTGTAATTCTGTTTTCTTGGTGAAAGAAACAACAGTTTTGCAGGAGCGTCCGTGTTGGAAATAATGTTCAGTGGAGTCTTAACGTAAAAGCTGTGAATGTGTTGACACACGGGGAAAAAAGAAAATGTTTGGGAACCACTGGACTCTATGTTCTGTGATAACATTCACGCCCCAGGTGTGAGAGTTCCAGTAGAAGTTTTGGAGGATTTCAGGGACATTCAGTAACTTTGACTTCCACTCATTTATGGTCCTGGTCCACAGTCCACAGTCCACAGTCCTGGGATAAGATGACAAATATAAATATAATGTTGTGTGTGTCAGCCTGCAGCATCTGCTTCCTGTTCCCTCTGTTGTCACACACAGACTTCAACACTTCTCAAAGAAGTGACTTTTAAAGCCTTCATGCATTTTTTCTTCCCATGGTAACATTTACACACGTGTCATGTGACGCAGCAGGTTGACTGGAGTCGTCTTCTAATGATTTTCTTCTTCTCTCAGATAACACCGCCAGCATCCTGACACGGAGAGCCAGCTACAGCCGACTTCACCAGAGCATCTACCTGGTTCCCGTGGTGATCACAGACGGCGACTACCCCATGCAGAGCAGCACGGGGACCCTCACTGTGCGGGTGTGCACCTGTGACCGCGACGGCAACATGGAGCTGTGTAATCCTGAGGCTCTGAGCAGCTCGGCTGGCATTAGCACGGGGGCGCTCATCGCCATCCTCCTGTGCGCCATCATACTGCTGAGTGAGTACTGCAGAAACGCAGCAGCGTACTGGTGTACTGCACCTTCAACCGTGGTACTTCAACCTAAATCAGTATCTGGCTGTAGCTGTAACAGCGTCGGAGTCCGGGCCGCGGAGTTACTCTGTTTTAATGAGCTCATGGTTTTTTAATTCCGGCAGAGAGCAGAGTACACCGTGAATACTGCACCAGTCCTTCACAATACCACATATACTTCACACATACACCTGATTGGCCAGTTCAAGTTAAGATCATGGTCCCTGTCACTTGTTTACTGCTGACTACTGACCTAAAGAACCTCATAAGAACACTGGGTACATGGAGGCGTCTGGGGTTTAACACACAGCAGAAGAAACGTGTGAAGAACGCGTCATGACATCACTTCCTGTCATCATTTTGTTTGCCACAGAGTAGTGTACAATGATGAAGAAACCAAGCCGACTTCAGCAGAGAGAGCTGGTGGCTTTATCATTTAATTATTTCTAATACTGTGTGTCAGTAGTAGTCAGTATTTCAGTCTTCAGGACTGCAGTTTTAACTCCACTGCTCGTGGAATTTCTTTTCTTTTTTTTCCAGTGGAGTCACACGAACCAAACGAACAGCAGAAACTTTTCCTCCTCCTGGGACGTCACTACATAAACAATGGTTTCCAGACAGGTCCCAGAACCTCCGTGGTGTGGAGGCTTGTCTGCCTCAGTTTTCTGGTGACATTTTAGATAGATTCATAAAATAAAAAAAGGGACCAGTGGAGTCAGAGGTCTGACTTCAGGTACAGATACATTTACCTCAGTAAATAATATGATGTAGGAACCAACGATCAAGAGGAGAAAATGTTTAAAAAGAAAAAAAAAGTAGCCTCAAAGTCAGTGACAGAGGAGCTGTGAGAACAAATATGAAATGAAATGAAATGTGGGCAGACGGCGTGGCTGCTGTTTGATCATGCTAGCTCAGACCCCCGTACGCTGCCCCCATTTGTACAGCATCGTTAACACACGCAGCCGTTACGCTCTCTCATTTTGTGTAATGGAAAACAACATCGGTTCAGAGCTCCAGTCGTCTGCCGCTCGTCAGAATCAAACCTCGTATGGAAATGAGCACATCTCATCTGCCACCACATCCCCACTTATCCTCTTATTCATGCAGTGGTCACAGTCCAGTGGGCTGCTGGGAAAATTGAATACATATTTATGCCTCTGAAGGTGCAGTCATTGCAGACTTAGTGGGCAAACACACACACACACACACACACACACACACACACCAGCACCAGCACCAGCACCAGCTAGGCAGTGCTGAAATGCACTGGCCGTAGTCAGGAGTGCAGGGAGTTGAGAGCAGTCAGCCGTCAACAGGCAGCACATGAACACACACACACACACACACACACACGCAGGTTTGTTAATCCTATTATACAGCGTTAGGTTGCAGTGGTTCAAACTGTCTAACAAAGTTAAACCTTAACGAGTTAGTGATAATTAAACTCTGACCATAACCAGTTAATGCCAGTGACTAGGCTGAACTATTAAGGGTTGGGGATTCTGGGTAATTTTAACAGACTGAGTTTCATTTAAACCGCTCTCATTTCCACTGATTGTCTCTGGTCGTTGAACAACAGGAAATAAAACTAGAAATCAGTGCAGTTTCAAATCAAGAAAATATTTACATTTAAATTCCCAGAATGATTCCAGGAGCAGCGATGATGTGGGCGCCTCCTCGGGGTTAAACTGCATTTGAATGTCGGTCACATCATCGCTCGCTGTTTTTCTTCCTTCCTAAAATGTTCTCCTCTCTGTTTTTTTCTCTTCTCTCCTGTTTTTATCGCCACTATTTCTCACTGATTTGAATGTCTTTCTCATCTGATACGGTCGTATTCATTCCTTTGCGTGTGTTTTCCCTTTGCTTCGCTGACGTTCCACGCTGTGATTCATGCTGCTGCTGATATTGGCTATCTCTCTCCTCTGACCTTAACCACACCTTGGCTCTTTCTTGAAACTGCCGTTCTGTTGATTTACATTCAAACCGACTAGCGTGAGCCCATCCAATCAAATTTTCTATACAATTATTTATAGCCCAGTCTCGTCCGTAATCACAGAGCGCCGCGGTGAGTGTCTCTCCGTCGTCGGCCTCTGCAGAACTTGTGTTTTAAACCCTTATCGACACTTCACAGATAGAATTCATGTGCGTCTTCTTTTAGCTTTGAAGTGTGAGTCTCCGTAACCATGAGCGCCTCCTGCATTTTTACACTGAATTTAAGCTGATGAGCCTCAAATTACTCCTCAGTTTCCACTTTTTTTTTATCAAATGCTGATTTAATATTACTTTAAAGAAAAAAACCTTTGGTCTTTTAACATATTTCTAGGTTAGTCCCTTCATGTTTGAACTGCCTCGTGCTCGTCCTTAGTCAAACTCATCACTGTGTTAGATCAGTGGAACCTAAAGGAGAATGGAACTGGAATTGAATTTTGAGTTGCAAAAAATAGAAATTAATGTCAATTTTTAATATTTTTGTAATTGTATTCCATTTGCTCCGTTAGAAAAACAGTTTTGTAGAAGTAACATTTATAAATACTTACTTCATGTGGACAAAGTACTGCAGTTGTTGGTAGTACGACCGTCTAACGCCGCGCTCTTCTTCTCTGCTCTCCTGCAGTGATTGTGGTTCTGTTCACGGCCTTAAAACGCCAGAGGAAGCAGGAACCGCTCATCATCTCCAAGGAGGACGTCCGCGACAACGTGGTGAGCTACAACGACGAAGGCGGCGGTGAGGAGGACACTCAGGCTTTTGACATCGGAGCGCTGCGACATCCCGACGCGGCCACGTCTATGGAGGAATCTGCCAAACAGAGGCGTGACATCATCCCCACTGACACCCTGCTCTACCCGCCGCTGCGCCGACCCGTAGCTGCCAACAACCTCATGATGCCGCCGGCCAGCTTGGTCTCGCGGGACAACGGCGACGTGCGTGAATTCATCAACCAGAGAATTCTGGAGAACGACTGTAACCCCACGGCGCCCCCCTATGACTCGCTGGCCACCTACGCCTACGAGGGAACTGGCTCAGTGGCCGAGTCGCTGAGCTCCCTGGGCTCGGTGTCGTCGGAGGCTGAGCAGGACTATCACTACCTGAGTGACTGGGGGCCCAGGTTCAGGAAACTGGCTGACCTGTACGGGGCTGAGGACAGTGATTTCTCCTAACAAAGACACACACAGTCACACACACTGAGACACACGACACAAACACACACACACTTCAATGTCAAAGGCAAGATTCAAGATTTTGACCAGCGCAGGGCCGAGCAGAGCAGTCACAGACTGGAAATAAAAAAACAAAAAATAAAAAAAAAGGAGAAAAAAAAGACTATTTTTTCACATACGGCGAGAGTTGATTCCTGAAATGCAAGAACGGAGAATGAAACCTGATCTCTGTCCTGCCTTTACTTCACATGAACGTTAACAAGTCTTTTTTCAAAAGAAGACCCAGAGTCTCAGATATGTTTATTTGGGAACCCAGGTGTAAATCGACCAATCCGAGGGCGGATCCAAAGACCTTTCAGTTTCCCCAGTTTGGACCTCTGCAGCAACTCTTTTCTGGCCTGAAAGGCGTTGGGAAATTAAATTAGACTGTATTTTCTATGGAGAATTGGACTTTTCAGGTTATGCTTTAATCTCTGAATAATTATTTTGCTGAGTATTGCTTGTGGCTTCTGTGTGCCATTTGTGTCGGGCTCCGAGGAGCATTTGGAACGAGGTCAGTCAACAAAACCCGTGTTTGTTTTTGTTCTTGTTTTTTTTCCCTCCCAGAACTGAACCGCACTCTTTGCTGCAGATATAGAGTGAAGAGTGTGTGTGGAAAACACAGTTTTATTTTCTTTCTGACTAAGTGCCCTTTGTGCTGCCCTTCAAGCTGAACTGCGAACGTCTGTGCTGCGGTCGACACTGGAGGCGGCTGACGACTTTTCCCTGATTGCTTTTTGTCGTTCTGGCTGTTGTACAAAATGATCATTCCAGAGGAGCTGTTCTGAAGGATCCTCGCTCGAAAATCAACCTTCTTCGGGACACAGAGTAAAGAAAACTCCTTCGATGCACTGATTGCTTTATGTTTATGCAGTTTTTTTTTTTTTGTTTGTTTTTTGTGCTGCGCAAAGAACAAAGAAATAGATGTTGACCACAGCATTTTTACATTTTTAACTAATTGGACTGGTGTGTTGTCAGAACTGTCGCTGGATACAGTTGTACTGGAAGAATATAACCGAAGATTCAACCGACCTTTCATTTCTCTTGAGTGAAACGCAGTGTAAAATGTTACACGTGCGGTCGCCGAACAGTGTTGAGGAATATCGTGGATGGTATTTTGGTCTCCAACGTCATTAAGGAGATGTGGAGATCTGTCACATTAAAAAAAATGTTATTGTTTAAATGTTCAGACTCACACATTAAAAAAAATGTTATTGTTTAAATTTTCAGACTCACTGTTGTGGGTCATGCAGACCAGTGTTTGTCCAGTGTCACTTCATCAGCACCAGAGGCTGATGTTTTTTAAAAAAACATTCATCAGCACCAGAGGCTGATGTTTTTAGTTAAAAAAAGTTAAAAAGTTAGTTTAAAAAGTGATTTCCTAAAAGGATGTGTTGACCCTTGGCCCCTGGAACAGTCCCGGGCCGTTCATTTGGTATCTGGCCGCAGAGAAATAACGAAGTTTATTATTTTCTATTTCTTATCTTCTATTATTTACTCAAACAAGACTCCAAAAGTGACGTTGGTGTAAACGAGAAGTGCTAAAGACGCTGTTGCAGTCGACGCGTCGATGTGAAGAAAACAGTCTTAACACAGAATCTGCCAAACAGGAAGTGTTGTTTATTTATGATTTAATTATTTTCAAAAAGAAATCCTAAAATGGTGTGTGAAGTCAGCATTCTAGGAATTTGATTTTAATTTAATTAGATTCTCTTAAAAAATAAAACAAAGTGACAGACTTTATCCTCATCCAGCTCACATTTGAAGTGTTGCTTAGTGACTGCAGCCTCATCTCTCTGCCCTGTACAATCTCCACACTTTGTCCCGTTGTTCTTGTGCATGTCTCTCAAGATGTTCTGGAGAACATTCCACTGTTCCACAGTTTTTGATTTGTGCACTTTTATGTTTGCTTCTAAGACTCATTCAGACTGTGAGGTTTTGTTCACACACTGCTATAAACCAACAGGGAGATGCAGCGTTTGTTCCATCAAAATCACAACAGTCAACCTCAGTGCCATGTTTTTAAAAAAAAAAAACTTCATTTCAAACTTCTCGTTTGTTCTGTGGTTCCACCGTCCCAGTGAAAGCAGCAGTTTTCAGGTGTGTGTTGTGACCGTGGCCTGTTCTGAAGGCTTGAGACAAAAATGTCAGTATTTTTCTTTACATTGTGACTTGTTTTTTTTGTACCAAACATTGATAGGACAAAATGAGAAAACAGCAATTCTGGAGTGAGAAGAACAAAAAACAAAAAAAAAATCCAGTCAGTGTCCAGCTTCACTGTTTTTAATGTCACTTTTGAAGTGTGAGACTCGCTGTCGGCAGTCACTGTCTGTATATTATGACGTACTATCATGTTGTTTAATTTTACCATAATAAAACTTTTACAGTTAAACGGTTGAAACAAAAAAAAAGACATTTGTCAAATTTTTTTTTCAGCACTTCCGTTCACTTATAGATACGTAATTTACACCCGCTGCTGAAAAGAGGTTTTTTTTTTGCACCTCAGGCTGAAAATACCGTGTCAATGCCAAGCATGTGTTTGCTGTTGCTACACCTTCAGGTCAGAGCAGGACTTTCTCTTGTCATATTCAGGAATGATTATTAACCTCGATTAATCGCAGATAATTGTAATAGTGAATCTTATTTGCAGTAACAGTAAATCTGCAGAAAAATGGAGAAGATTCTCCTTTTTTTCCTGTTTTTCAGTGAAATGCAGATTCAAACCATTAACCCTGCTCTGCTGCATGCGCCCATCTGTCCATCGCTGTGAGGCAGACGACCCATTGAGGGACAGTTTCAGATGAAGCCGTAGTGAAAACAGCTGTAACTTTACCATGGTGAGATTACACAGAGTGCCTCCATTAGTGACTTCCATTTTTTTCTCACATTTAATCTTTGATAAGAATGTCATGTAAGGAGATAAAAGTGTCTGTCAAACTCAGTAATCCTGGATAAAGTGGTCGGCACTCTCTCTCTCTCTGTCTCACCCTCTCTCTCTCTCAGACTCACACAGTGAGCGCTTTTCAGAAATCCACACAGAGATCCACTCAAAAATGCATGACCGTTCATTCTTGAAGGCATGGACTGAATGGGGAGCCGGGCTCCTTCTGTGGGACGCTGGGCTCTGTGTGGCCTGCTGTGCCTGGTTGTTCCCTTCACCTTCAGGCACAACAGAGGCCACAGGAACAGCTGGTGAGGGCTGCTGCTAAGAGAGAGACAGTGCAACAGAAAGAACAGGTTCTCATGGAGAGCGGGGGAAACACCGGGGGGGTGGCTTTATTGTTGGTTTTCATTGAAATGAATAAAGGAGGAAAAACAAATCCTGCACTGCTCAGGTGAGGCCAACAGAAGTCTAAACTTAAAATGACATTAAAGTGAGTCTTAGCCTTTTGACCAGAGGACAATGGATCAGGAATAAAATGATGCCAAAAAAGGTTTTAGCCCAGTGGTGTGGGACAAATAGGTTGTTGTTCCCTGAATAACATACCATCTGGTCCAATTTAAACCTGGAACACGTAGGCAAATAAACAAGACAAATGTTTCAAACTCAGTCTATATGTGATCCCTGACTGACTGCAGGAGGCTGAGACCAAGACTCTGTGAGGACCAGAGCATCTGCTGCACCGATCCCTGCCTCTCTGCCCACGTTGGGCTCATGGTCTTGGGGCAGAATGACTTTGTTGTTACATTATTCATGTTATGGATAAGCTTAGGTCAAAGTTCCCAACCGTGGTAACTACTAACTAAACTAAGTACTAGGGTTAAGTGGTCGAAGATCATTTGGATCCAAAGTTCCTTCAGGTTTGAAACTTCACTGAACATCATTGAAGTTGTTCAGAATACAGATAAGTGTGCTTCACTTAGGTAAATGTGAACATTTGCCTTTTCTCCTGGGGGGAAGTCATCTGCAATTCATGCTCATTAATTAATTTTTCATGGACAATTAGACTAAATTATGTCTTTGGTTTTAAATGATACCAAGGGCTATAAACAGTGAAGATAGATGAGTTTTGACCCGATATGTGACTTAGTGTGTTGCTGTGGTAGTTTAAAAGCCCTTCGTGCAGAAGGTTGTGGGTTAAATTCCGTGTCATTCTCTAATCCCATTTTGGCTCGTGTCAGGGATGGTGGCTGGTGTAAAATGTGGAGACACTAATGACGGTACAAGCTGGAAGTGCAGTCTTTCTCTGCACTAATTACATAATGTTTTTTGTGGGGGGGTTTTAATGACTTCATAAGATTGCTGCTTCACTATTTTTTTACCGTACAAACCACTTCCCTCCACTGCAGGGGGTTATTGGTTAATGCCCCGTTCACTAGGTTGTTTGTGTACAACAAACTTTTTTATATGTCAGTTTAACCTAAGAACTTGGTCAAAATATCCCGTCATGTACGAGTTACACATTTAGGTTTGAAGTCAGTGATTGTTCATGGTTAGCAAACAAACTGATGATCTGATACTGTCTGCACATACAATGGTGTGCTTCATTTAAAGTAGTGCAAAACAAAAAATGCATTTCCATGACAAGGCAACATACAATGGTGTGCTTCATTTAAAGTGGTGCAGGAACAAACTGATTATTTAAAAGACAAAAATATCTAGAACAAGAAGGGACATGAAAGAGAGAGAGAGTGGGGCAAGAGACTGAGGAGAGAGAGTATTAGTGACTCTTTATATTTCCAGTAGATCTCAACATTGTTTGTCTGTCATTTAATTTGAAGTAAATTCATCTTTAATGAATGTATTTCTACAGCAGTTCCTCGCCGCAGCACGGCTCTGTCTGCATCAGCCCTCTAACCTGGGTTAATAACTATGCAAATAAAAAGGGTAAACCCAATTCATGGAAGCCAGTTTCCCACGTCTCCATTCATTAATAATAAGGCGGCTTAATGCACACATAAGCACACAGATTATCGTCCAATCATAGCTCATCTGCATAAGGAAAACCGTGGCACGGAGTGCAGATCTGTTAATCAGCAGCCTCTTCATGCATCTCCACTACCTCTGTCTGAGGAGGGATCTTTGGAAAGTGCAAGAGGAAAGAGGAAATGAAACGCAGCTGAGGGTGGGGACATCATGAGTGCTCTCCTAAAGATGGAAGAGTGATGTTTATTCCAATGTGGACAAAACCAGGGTTCGTGCTTTCAAAAGCACTGACATTCACCATGGTCTGCAGTGGAGTAATAAGAAGAACTAGCTGCAACCTAAACAAAAGAAAATTTAAAAAAAATCTCCTGGAAATGGTCTGAAATGCTGTAACCTTTTTTTTTCAATATTGTTATTATTATTTATTTTTTAAGGTTTTTTTATAGCAGAACCCAAATGGACTGAGAGGAGATAACCAAGAGGCTAATAGAAATAAATTTAGTATAGTATGTAGACAAATTCGGGCTTAATTGATTATTTCTTATGACATTCATTTTATTAAGTGTGGATAATATTAAGATGATATAAATGTAACTGTGATTATTTTGTAATTTCCCAATGCTTCCCGTAAGTTTACGCGATGAGTAAGGCGGGGGCGGAACCTCTTCGTTTGTTCCTGTTGTTCTGGGGGACAGGTAAAGTGACGCAATTGCTTCCTCTCCCCTGAGAAGTAAATTGGGAGAAAATTGAATGCAACTGGTCTTCATTGTTACGATTTTACCAGAGTCATGCAGGTAAGTTAATGTCAAAGACGTGAGAATATTATTTTAAACCTGTTTCGAACTTAAATGACAATGTTTCTCCCGTTTTGTACAGTTTTAAAGTGTTTTAACAAATTAATTACATTTCCGGCGGTGGTACCAATGAGCTAATACCGTTTCCATACAGAAAAGTCAAGGACTGTGGTCCAAATAGGTACATTTAAACGTATTAGTTACCCTATGATAATGAATTTACATCACTTTATGTTGTGAAAAGTAATTTGAAAAGTAATTAAATAGATTTGATGGTTAAAAACTGACAATACTAAGGAGGTAGTAAATAAATGTTACTGAATGATACATTACATGGAGAAAAAAAGGAGTTGTTGTGATCTGTCACATTTCGCTCTTATTGTCTGTCTCCCTTTTCCCACCAAACTACGTCATATTAACTTTAAAGTTAGAGTATTAGTCTTACACTTGTACCCAAAAAAGGTATATTTGTACTGGGATTACAGTGGCGTCAATCTTTCTCATCTTTCTGGCTTCTGAAATAGCAACAACAAGTGAATTATTTAAACATTTACTTCATAGTACACTTGCATCTCCGTTCTCTCTCAGGTGTGATTCAAATGTAACACAGATGGTCACAGAGAAAGAGCCTCTATGTGTAGACATGAAGAGGCATAAAATATGTGTCTGCAGTTATGGGAACATATCAAAGTTGAGCAGAGCAGTGATTGGTGAGGATCCTGCAGTATTTCGGAAGAAGATGATATTACTGTAGAGAAATGCTGTAAAAACTTTGCTTGAAGGAAAGAAAAACAAAACTTCAATTTTGACATCACAAACCTCTGGCAACCCCAGAGACATTTTTTAAATTATTACGGTGCAGCGTAATAATAAGTTGAAAAATATTTTTATCAATTCAAAGACATAACCAGGCAACCCCATTTGAATTCCACATAACCCCACATGGGGTCAGCTATGTTTTTTTATTTGTTTGCCCTTTAAGGAACCCAGACCAGATCAGCAGCTCGCACAATCAGTCGACAACATTTAAATTGAAAGATTGTGTGCTCTCCTACTCAGCCTTTGATGCACTTTGGGGTTATGCATCACAGCTGTTTCTCCTTTTCCAAGACAGCTTTTGTTCTGATGGCTGTCAAAACATTAAAAAAAAAAAATTAACAATATCAGGTGTTAGAGCAACAGGAGACAAACAGGGATTATTATTTTGCTCCGTGGTGGCATGGTTTGTGTGTGTTGTGATGCCTTGGTGAACAGAAATAAATCTTAACTGTAAGAAAGAAAAACGAACCATGAACAGTGCAATGCTTTTGAGGAGATTCTTATTCATAAAGAAACATATTGGACACTGTAAAACGGTAAACAAAGAGTGATATACAACCGAACATTTCAACATTGAACAAATTCACGGAAAGTTTGTGTCTATATTTTTGTATTTAAGTGACACTTTCAATGCTGGACTTTTATTGTCATCATTGATCACATCTTACACTCACAGTGTCGCAGTCTTCGATGAAACACTGCTCACTGCCTCTACATGCAGCTAATAAATTTTATGAGTATCAGCCTAACACACAGACAGATAGAGAAGCAGAGAGGGTCGACTCCAACCACAAACAATTGTTTTTCTACTTATTTTTGGAAACTCTTCACTAATTAAGATTTCAGCTGTTATCTTGTCACTGTAACCGATAGAACCAATAAAAGCAGCAGTGGAAGAAAAGAAAAGAAAACTCTTACATGTAACAAAACATCTGAGGCTGCAGGCAACTTGTAGGCAGGATAATTAGTTTGTTGTGCCTCCCTTTCAATGGCTTTTACCATCAAATGACAACGCAGACTTATTCTTCTACTAGTTACATGGAAAAGAGATGACTTAAGTTCACCTTATTATTTATAAAATGCTTTAATGATAATGACAAAAGTACTCATTTATTCAGTAATTCTGTATTGGTCTTAGGGGTTTGTCACGATTGTTCCAAACCCAATTAAAAAATAAAGAACATTAACAAAGTTTCAGAAACTTAAAAATAACCAAATGAGATCTGACATGGGAATATAAAACAATGTCTTAACTACAAACACAAAATATAATAAACATGTTAAATGAAATCGAATCAAGAAAATTATATTAGTCCTGAGGATCTTTTTATTTTTTTATTCAGCCACAGTAAGTGCAAAGCATCTGTTACTCAGGACAATTGTGGCCCACGAATCAAAAAGTTTGTCCACGCTTTTCCTAGATGTTTGATCGTTGGCTTCAGACGTAGAAAATAAAGTCAAGGTGTAGACTGTGCAAGTGAGATTCTCTGCCTCGCGCTGTGAAGAGACTAAAACAGAGCTAATATGAGTTTCTAAAGGCAGTGTTTACAAAATCACATCATGTCTACCTCACATCACGCTCCTCAGCCACCTAGACTTAGCCCTTATGTTTGTTGTAGTCATTTTATCAACTGAAATCTGTGAAACAAATCCCTGGGGCCGTCAAAGACAGACTCCTGCAGCGGCTGGAAACATCAACCGTTTTTTTTTTTCAAGTCAGATTTGGCGTTAATCAGATGCTCACACTTGCGGTATCAAATTCAAATTCCACTGACAATATTTCCACGATAAACCCTACTTATTGACTGGGAGCGAACACGGCTATCGCTGTCGTCTTTATTCTTATTATTAAAACGAGCACGTACAGTGCATTCAAGCTGTGTGTAGATCTGCCAATGATGCAAAGCAGTTGTCTTTGTTTTCTCAGCTCATGCATAAGCTCTCCATCTGATTCTGATTGAACAAAAACACGATCCGGGGTTTATAATTGGATTTCTTTATACCAAAACGGCACATTTGACATTTTACTTTTATTGGTTCCTGTCATTTTACTCATCCGTGTCTTGCGTCATGTGACTAAAACCATGGAATGTGAAATAATACAAAGAACCTAAAAATAAAAAGCTGCTTTTTTTTTTTTACTATCACCAGTGCCAGTGTTAGAAAGAACAAACATTGACTGATTTTATTCCAAAACAGAAATCCAGGAAGACGCAGTGAAGATGGTGGGAAATATTTATAGGTATTTCACATCGACTTGTATAGCTAACTTTGTCCTGTTTGTGTGCATCACGCATGCCTTACACATGTGCTTTACCCACAGAAGGTCTTTGAATGAAGCCCCAGAGGAACCACATACGCGTCACAATGGCGCCTCCAGTGGCAGCAGAGTGGGTTGCAAAGACCAACACTGTGAATTTACCCATTGTCGGACGAATAAGGTATGAATATATTTCTTTTAATTTTGATGTTTTTTGGTGACAAAAACCAAACTTAACAACTGACTGCATTGATTATGCATGATTTCAATTCTTTCTTTTTTTCATTTTAGGCCAAAACAATTTATTTCACAAATGCGTATTTATTGCTTTAGGAGTTAGGAGATGAAAACAATCCACTGATCCTACTTGTTTCTGCCTGTACTTAAGAGGCAACCATGCAGTCTGCTGTCACTGTTCCCACATTGTGTGTGTGTGTGTGTGTGTCAGGGGGGCCTCTGAGACCTCTCTTTGCGTACCCCTCTGAATTCCTCAAACCCCCTTACACTCCCTGTGCTACTGTTAAATAATAGATACAGGCTCTTGCAATGACTGTTCCAACTCTCTGTACAGCTCTGCATCAACACGGCCATTACCCGTTTACTGCTGTGAAGCCCGGCGGTCTTGTTGGGGGACATTTTTTCATGCTGAGCAGAATGTTATGAGCTAAGCATAAGCGAATGGGCACAGAATGGGATACGTGTGTTGCCTTATTATGCACCATGTCTCCAAAGACCTTTTTATGATATCAGCACTGTATGTCTTTGTCAACAGTTTTCTACTCGGTGTAGATGAAGGAACTCTGTGAGCGACGACGTCAACAGAACTGATTCAGCTGATACCTGTGCTGGACAGCTCCCTGCCACAGCTGACTGGTCAGTGCTTTTACCTGATTCCAAGCCTATAAGTCAACTCGTCGTTGCCTGAAACCACACAGGCAGCATTTTTCCTATTTGTTTACAGTTTCTGCAGGGAGTCTTTATCTGCTTTATAATTACTTGCTGTTTCAAGATTTAATTTATTCTACAAATAACAAAGACTGTGTTGCCTCTATTTCCAGCTCTAGCATATCAATCAGGGAAAACAAATTGCCATGGACACAAAATTAGCAGATATACCTCATGGCCATATGCCTGGAAATGTTTTATAAACAAATTGGAAAGATTGAATATTAAGTGTCCTGGCCCACATTTAAATTTCATGCCCATGAAAATCCCTTCCAGCTTGTCTCTCTGTCAGTAATTGCACTTGCGGTAGTCTTCTTCCTGACCATTCCCAACCTGGGTTTAGAGACTAACGCTGCCTTCAGGGCAACGGGAAGGTCTGAAACTTCACTGAGATGCTGCAGCCTGACGGGACACAGGTGGCGGTCCTGGACATGCAGACCTAAAATAACAGATAAATTAGAGAAAGAATTGAACCAGAAACTTTGTACACCAGGAGTCCTTGCATTGCATCACTCTGGCCTCCAAGGAACAACCCAATGTCAGGCAGAGAACAAATCACTGCGACACTCATTTTAGAGAGTAGAACAGTTGACAACAGTTGTTATATATATCTATCACAATATAATATTTTTTCAGATTTATCACTCTTTGAAAAGCATGAATCCATCACGCGACACTGAAGACACGTCCGTCTTCCAATCTGTTTCCACCGATGTTCACTCCTGTGGCCACTCAACGACAATAACCTCCTTGTTGGTATGAACAGCTGACTGTGGTCTTGGCAGATTTCCACAGCCTTTTCTCCTGTCTGACCAATTGTTTTCACATTATGTGGCTGATTTTCTTTTCCTTTTTCCTACCGGCTATGCTTGTCCCCTTTAAATGACCTTATTGCTAATAACACAGCTGTGCTGATGCATTTACCACCCAGCAATAACCATCAAATTCAGAAACACAATGCTCCGACTGCGTAACGAATATTCTACTTCCATAAAGGAAGCAATAAACAGCTCACAACATGACTCAGTTAAGCTCGGCTGCAGCTTCCATTCCATTTTTTTTTCCCCAGCAAATTACACTCGGCTGCTCTGCTTGTTTTTTCCCAAATCTTAAAGTAAGGTTATATAGTGTGACAGACATGTTCTGCCCTTTACACATTGGGCTAAATGAAGCGTTAACTTGATATTTGGGATTTTATGAAACCTCCGTTTTTTCATTCCCCAAAAAATTGAGTCGATAAATTTCAGCAGATATTCCTGTGAACAACAGTGTCACACACCAGGTTTATATATAAATAAGGGCTTTTATACAATTACGATACAAATGTGCAAATGAAATTACATCAACTTGTTATACTGGTGATAATTCAATTAAGTAGCCACGCCCCAATTACATTTTTAAACTTATACAGCTGATTGAAAATAATGAATAATGAAATTGAATGCAGAATATCCAAAAACACAAACAAATAAACACGATCTATTTTAAAGCAACAACAATTGGTCTCAGGCAAAACAAGGTCAGTAAGGATCGTCATGATAATTATTCTGTCCACTGTAGACAAACGTAATGCCCATTGTAATTTTACAAAAAGAGATGGCTTTGTTGGAGCTGAGGTATGCTGTGTACGTTGCGTACTTCTTGATAAATGGGGCTCTAAAGCACCGACAGTCTACTCCTGGTACTACATCCTGCAGTGAAAAAACCAGGACAAACAGGACCGCTGTACTGTACTGAATAAAAATAGCCACTAACATTTAAACCAAAGGAAAAATCCTGACCTTGTAACCGCCATATTTCATCATGAGGAAATAACCATTTCTGAAAGGTAGACGAGAACAAAGCTATTAAGCGCTCTGCATTCTATTTGAGTTCACCATTAAAGTAATCGATTATTTAATTTAACAGCCCAGAAGGACGCTTCATCTGACAGGTTATTGTGGTGACAACAAATGAATTTAATCTTCATCTAATGTTTTTTGTTTCCTCTGTTCATTTCTCTTTTTATTAACACTGGTTCTTTCTTTTTATCTGGCTATTTTTTTTTCTTACTGTGTTTTATTCCTGGCACCACGTCCATGAGCAAAATATGGAGCGAACAAAATTACAATTGTTTTCATCATTGTTGTACCCTTGAATTGAAAGGTTCGCCAGAAAACAATGAAAAAGTAGCAGTAACATGGGCGTACACGAGGTCAGCTGAGCTCACTCGTACTTATACTGTATATCACATCCATCTATCTATATATATATATATATATAGATAGATAGATAGATATAGATATATATGTTAGTGTATAATTTAGTGTCTCATTAACCTAATCCCAAATCCACATGGTTTCCCGCTGTGGGGAGAAACTGGAGTATCTGAGAAAGAGATGTCAGAGCCAGGACTTAAATTCAAATTGACTGAAATAATGTAATTATTAATATGCAAAAATATCAAGAAACATATTCACAGGTTTGCTTCATACAGCTGGTGGATGTTTGTGGAGAGTTTCTCCACAAACCTCCCAGAATGTCGTGACAACTTGAATACAAATTCACTGACATCTTGTAAAGGAAAGACCAAGAGAATATACAGTCAATAGGGTCCTGCAGCTCAACAAAGCATTTCTTTGGCCTTTAATTGACTGGGTGGGGGTATTTTTTAAAAAAAGAAAATCTATATTTCTTTAGAGTATAGTGGATATTTGACATTTAAATTTTAAGGTTACAAGAATGCAGGTGATGTGGGAGTATTCAATCTTTGGAAAAAAATATTAGAGCATAGTGTAGAAGTTACAAACAGCTACAAACTGGCAGAATAGTGAGTGCCCTTTCACTTGTGTGCAGCAGTGAAGGTCTAAGTACTTCCCTTAAGCACGTCGCTGCCATCAGTGTTAATGTCGCTTTTGAATGCCTCTCAAAGTGTTTGCCATTATCCCCCTTTGTAAAAGTGATCACGTCAAGGATAAGTAGAAATGCAATGGCTGAGAGTTGTTGTAGAGACATCGATGCTTCCAGAAAATGTTGAACAAAGGGCTGGTTACTCGTCAGTGTTCATTGGAAGCAGATATTAGCTTTGAAATGACTGGTGGAGCTGGATGGATGGATGGATTTGTAGGTTGGTGAGTTGGTGGATGAATGTATAAATGTGCCCTCTCCTGGAGACGATTGAGTTTTGTCTTCTACTCCTAAGCTTTTATCTCAGCATGAGAAATGCATGTTCTCTGTATTTTTGTTTTACATAATATTTCATAATATCTGCCTTAAATATTTCATTTAATCTGCTCTTTGCTATGCTATTTGATTTTTTGTGGTTCGGATTAGTTTAGCATCAATGAATGGATGGATTTTGATAGATTGTGCAGTATATAATATATAAATATTACATTGGTTGTTATTTTCTTGTTCAACCACATTAGCTATTAAAGATGCAATATAGATTTCCTATAAAATAAAGACAAAGAACCTGACTTTATTGTATAAAACAAAGTAAAGTAATTAGGTAATAGACATAATGGATGTTGATTAGACCTGGATCATTTCAACAGAGTTTAGAGTGGGACCCTCAGGTCTCTTTTGCCAAGCCAGACCTCCCTGTTTTTATTGACCCTCATTAAGAATATTGCCAAGCTGAAAGAGCTTTTGGCACCAAGTTAGTGACACTGGATCTCATTAGTTTGTTTCTGACCATGCCGCCACTGCCGTCTCCTTCAGACAACACAATGTAAAGACTAAAAAGTCACAGTCGTGGACATAATCTATCACCACTGGTCCCCTGCATCTTGGGACCCTCGTGATAATTACCTACACTGTTGCAGGGCTTTAGATGAAACCCATTTTATTGCAGCGGCTGTTAGAGGACCTGATATTAAGGACAGCTAAATGAAGAACTGACCCTGTCCCTGGGGCTTATTTGTGTTTATGGCCACTGAGCAGCCTTTTCTCTAGTTCATGTCCTTCTAAAATCTAAGACTGTCTAAACACGTCCACATGTCAGATGTGCTGCGATCACAGCTGCTCTGGTTTGGACAGATAGAAAATTGTCTCTGATCAGCCAGGCCTAAAAAGCTACATGGGTTTAGATGTGTCTGAAAGTGCAGGTCTTGCTGTCTGTCAACACCCTGGCCAAGCTGCTATTGATTTTTTCTTTTTTATTTTTTTTTGGTATTATATTTAATGCTTCACTTCACATTTGTAGGACACAGTTAAATGCGTTACACGGAAATAAAAGTGACAGGTACACATGCGGATGCAGACACACGTGTCCAGAAACATGGTGCACTCTTGTTTCCTCTTGTATATTCCCTCAAGAATTCAACTCCCCACATGAGGTTCTTCCTCTCACACATTCAGCGCCGTATGCTGGTCACTGCTTAAACCAGCCCTGACATTCTCTTTGGCATAAGAACCACAAACTGTCACATATCCATACACCCTGCAGGCATCCAAATACATGTTTGAACCCCAAATATACCCAGCAGCCCACACACTCACATGCTCCACAGACCGCTGCAGCAGCTTTGTGTGGGCACAGTGCAGACACTGATAATCCCAACCAACCCACTTCAGGACACTGAACAACTTGAAGCTTTGCTGCAATGTCCTGTCGAAAATAGTGTCACCTGGAATTTTAACGAGAGTTCTGGGGGATTTCTGCTCCTGCATGGGTAATGTGATTATTTATCCAGAACGGTTGACACTGTGCTGGGCTGTATATTCATTCATGTTCCTGGGATTTCCTGTCCTCTACTGTAGCTAACGGAGCAGCTGAAGCCGAGGGGTCGGTGTGTAACTCTGGAGGTTGTTTATGTTGTTGAACTGCATTCAGTGTTTTCTTCTGACATGGTATAGGATTGATGTGGCGGAGCACTTCACTCAACACCGTCATTATATTTAATGTTGATTAAGTAAGGCTCCTTAGTGGTGTATCTACATTGGCATTAACATCCTGTACATGACGCACACCACTAATAGGAATTAAAAATGGAATTTTCTTCATGGTTTAGTAAACAATTAGTTAATCATGAAAAAACAATCAAAGCTTTATTTGCAATCGACCTGAAAATAACAGAAAACAAAGCTGACCTCAGGGGTGAAGATGACGAAACATCATCATCAAACTAACCAACTCTGAGTCTTGACTCTGCTGCAGCAGAACTTTGAATGGTCCACCTTCATGAATAAGGTTTTGGACAATTAGTCCCATTAAATCAAATTATTGCACCACCCTAATAGCCACTCAGAGTGGACAGCCTCAATCCACCTGACCCGATCTTGTTGAACTCATTACTTTATAATTGGATTGGAAAAACAGCCTGCATCATTAGCCAAAGCTGCAGCAGGAAAACAGAAATGGACTCTTTGTCTTATAGTGTGCAGTGATGCAGTTCGTACAGTTGACTCCCTGTGGCTTGAAAAAAAAAACCCATAAAGTCCATAAATCACTACTTTGATGCTCAAATCTCACAAAATGACAAAAGTGAGCACCGCTGTATGAAGTGTTGTTCCTGCAGTTACCCTTACACCTGTTAGCTCACATAAATAACGTTACATAAAAAAATGTAGAAAGTAAAGATAATCAATGACGTGCTTTCACTGTTTTCATCATTTCGGCATGTGTGGCCAGGAATATCGACTACACATAAACAATTTGGGTCTGAGATATTGATCAGAGGAAAACATGCCTGAAACAACTGATCTGATTTATATTGCAGTTGGTTGAAAGGATTATTTGGTGTTGGTTTTTAGTTTGAGGTTTAGTTATTTATGCATCATTTTCAGTATAATTTACATACATTTACAGTATATTCTAAGGTGCTGAAACTGATAACACGGCTGTGGTGCATGTAATATTCTGTCTGTCCACTCCTTAAGTACTGCAAACTATTAATCTCATTTCAACAGGATCACTACTCTTTAGATGGTGACCCTGGGGAGATCTGAGAGAGATTCCAAAACAACTGGCTCAGGATAGTTTGTTAATTTTGGAGAAAAGAGCAGTGGGATCGTTGGAGTCTGATTGTATTGGATGAAAGTAATGAATAAATCACCGTTGTTTGGAGCTTTTTTTTACTGTTTAAAGTTACCCCAGTGTGCATGTCGGGGCAGCAGCATGTCAGCAGTTTGGAAGGATCTTAGAATCAATGACAAAGACACCATCCAGACACACTGTAAGACTTGATCTGGATTAACAATTGGTCACGTAGACAATTATCTTGTATTATCCAGTCACCAATTTCAAGCATTGATTCATTTTAATCAAGAAGAACAGAAGTGCACTTGGAGGTCAGTGGATGGACAGCAGTCCATGCTGACTTTCTGTGCAACCTCAGCTCATGCTCCCTGACCATATGTACATATATTGCCGGTGTTTATCCACGGTTTGTAATAACAAACCCTCTGGACGGAGAGCTCAGTGCCCAATTAAATCCACATCTACAAGCTTTGCCTGTGGAAGTTGGCACTTTACATGAGCATCTACTCTGTTCAGGTTTTCTCCTGCAAAAAAAAGTCAACACTGGTTGAAGGAGCTGGGCTGTTTGGACCGACCGCATGAAGTTGTTTTTTTCACCTTCTCCACCGGTTTACTTCACCTTCTTGCCCCGGACTCTGAAAAAGATATAATGTGACAGCTTTTCTATCAAGCTCCAGCTGGTCGAAAGCCTAGGAGAGCCTGAGAAGGCGTAACATAATGCAGCAGAAACACTTAAGGGGTTTACCTTCGAGACATCAGAGCACTCCCATCATGCACACACTCATACAAACAACTTCCCATGGGGGTTCACTATCTTCACCCCCTGTCCAGATCAACTTTCTCTGTCCACCAACCAGATGAAAGCGCCGGTCCCTGCAGAATCTCTGCCCTGCCCCCGTTATCTCTCTGTACCTTTATGTTCGCCAACGTCAACGTCCCTGTCAACATGGCATTCTGTGCTGGAAAGTAACAAGAAGCAGACATACTTCTATGTTGGTAGTCAGCTCTCTTATCATAATTGAATCATCATGTGTTATTCCTGTGCAGATGTGTCAACCGCTGCACCATCACACCGTTTGACTCTGTTTCATTTACACATCATTTATAAATCAGCTGCAGCTGTAATGATAAATGCCTGAATCACTTTTCCCAAATGTGTTTAGTTATGATGTAAATTACCATCACCGTACCTGCAGGGGAACAGTGTGTATTAGTGAATAAACGCCTGGATGCATGGAAATTGCATTTAACTAAACAGTAAATATCTCTGCCTTTTCAAGACAAAACATTTTCTTTATTCTAATTGAATCTAAAATTGTTTTAAAGACAGAGACAAGATATATCTTGGGTCACTTTTACTGTAACGCTGTGTGAAATAATCAGATATAAAACACAGCTCATTAGGTTCATATACATATACGTACATATTCAAAGTTTTATTCAGCACATCCAAAGAAAGTCCAGCGCTGGTGTGATTCATCTAAATCTACCCTTTCCAGCGAAAAGTTTTCTTTCAAATCAACTGCCATGTAATTAAATATGAGCTGTATGATTTGAAATGTGAGACCAACACAGAACCAGATCTTACATTTTCTTATTAAAAGAAGGGAAAAATTCCTAGCATGTCTCACTAACAAGATGTGACAGCACAAACATTGCGTCTGAATACAAAGCACCAACCAGCCAAGGACTCCACTGAAATGGTTCCCTTTGAACTCTGATGCCTGATGTTATTTTGTGAAGGAACAAAAATGGTCGAGGAATTTCCAAATCACTGTTGCTCTATTCATTTCTAATCTAATCCAATCAGCAAAGCCAAGTATATCCCTGCTTTCATGCTTTTGATCAGAAGTGAAAACAATTTTCACTTTTTCATATTACGGGCAGTGCGAAATGAAAGCAAAATGAAGGAGAGGCAGCAGAAGGGGCAAGAGACAGAGAAAGATTGAAAACAGTGGGTTGTTAGAAAAGGGATGAAAAGCACTGAACAAATTTCATTAAAGTGATCCATCATAAAACACTACACACACACACAACACACATACAGTCTGTTAATACAGAGTTACATGTCTTAAAATGCCACCCTGAGAGTGACTGTCTTCTACAAAGTGTTGTCTATTTTTAGTTTACACAATTAACAAAAGCTCAAATCCCGGAAAATTACATTTTATTTATAGAGTACAATTTAAACTCATAAATTGCTATTTTAATCACAGCCGTCAATTATCTACAAGTGGTCAAATAAAACCAAAATCCAAAGGACAAACAGAGCAGTGGACGTTGTGGAGCAAACCCGACTTATAGTTTTTATATACATACGACTTTTCTTTTCAAGCTAAAGCCTCGGTCTCATTTTTTACTATTGTCATGGTGATGCATCAATCCTCCTTTTCTGCCTGCTGAGTCTTCCTCTCCGTGGTCATCTCCAGCCTGGCTCTATACTGCCCTCTATGTTCTGCACTCTTACTGACTGACTCTATCATGCCTCAGCCTCTCCAGTTCTCCTGCTTCTGCTGCTTCTGCCCAACCAGTTGTAAGAGAACCTCAGCTGAATCTGTAAACATAATTATCAAGGCAGTAATGATAAAATAAACAGGAGTGTTCAGTGACCGTCAGGTAAACATATTACCCCAGTGTATTGTGAAAAGGTAACCTGACCTAACCTAATGTGCTCAGCTGTGACAGAGTCTGTCTGTTTGTGTTGGTTTTCCTCCTGTAAGCTTTTATCACACAGTTGTGTTCAGGAAAGACTTTCCAGCCCATTTACTTTGATTTAAAACTGAAACTAAATCCTGCTCAAACAAAAAAAAACGTTTATTTTTTCATATGAAAACTCAAAAAAAAAAAAAACGTTTATTTTTTCATATAAAAACTCCTATATTTTTTATTCATGTATTCAGGCCAAGTCTAAAAGGAATTCTTAATTATCAAATTAGTAAGAAAATAATCAAAGAGTGGCCAGGTGTAAAGAAAACACCTGGATATTTCCTGTTAACATATGTACAAATGTTGTCAGAATTATTCAGAGTTTTGTTGAACCACAATCTGCTGTAAAGGCTGTAAGAAAGTATTGCAGTGCTGTGTTCTATATAAATGAGCTGTTTGGTGAACACTGCACTCTTTCAGTTGAGGACAGAAACGAAAAAAAAGAGACAAAGATGAGAGAATCTGGTCCAACAGATTAAATGGTCTGTGAGAGTGTGGAGCACATACGAGAGAGAGAGAGAGCGCGAGGCAGGAACAAATTGTCGACTGGTATAGCTATGGGCATATAGTCAGTATAATCTGTGCCCTGAGCAGAGATCTCCATCCTTTCTCTTCACTCCTATTATTCTCCTTGTATGGTTTATATTTAATCTCTTGCTGTGTTTTTGTTCATCCTCTTTTTCTCTACCCTTTCACTCTTCAGCCCTCACCCCGCCTCTCCCCGTATTTAATCACAGTCTTTATTTTCTTTTTCTCTCTTTCTCTACTCATCTTCCATCAGATGGCGTTGCTACCTCCACTCATCACCCCGCTGTCATCTCCTATAGGCTCTGGTCCAAACTGAAAGGATGGATCAAAGCTTCCCATTGCTCTCCGAAGCCGCCAAGATCAAAAGGGTAGATCTGTAAACAGCTACAGCTTCTCTTTGTCACACACGCAAGCACAAATACACAAATATACACATGCCAAATGAATACTGTATCATGTTAGAATATTTACATATAATCTATGGAAACATAATTACATATTCAAACTCTAATCCAACTGAGAGTCACTGTAAATTTATTTTTTTTAAACCCTTTCAATTATTTTAGCGTTTATTTTATTGTTAATGTTTATCTGTACAGACCATATAATAATATTAATTCGATTTAAAATGAAGATAGAAGAAGATAATATGGTTTTTATGTACTCTTTACAGTACATGGCAGGAAGGACTACAACCACTGCACTACCATCACCCATTGCAAGGTAAGGTAAAAAGTAACACATTTTACATTTCGTAAAGCATGTTCAAAAACCCGAAACATGTTTTTAAAGTAAAAATTAAATTTCTATGAATTTATTTTTGTGGACGTAATAACTCTCGGAGCATTGACACTTCTGTTCCCTGCACTTCGGCACGCGGAACCTTTTATTTTATCCGGAATAATACTCATAGACGGACATAAACAGTGGATGGTGTCATTTCCGGTGTTGGTGTGTGCTGGATTTATGTGTAGCTGCGGCTAACTTTATAGAAGTGATGGCGAGCTGACAACTTAATGCCCGCTGAATTGAAGTACCGTTTGGAAAAAAAGCTGCACGTTTAAAGAAACGAGCGAACGTTTATCAGGAAAAAAAAAAGAAAAGAAAATGAGTCGTGTTCCAGTGAAGAGGTTCTATAAAGAGCTGCCGGTATGGATCGTGGAGGATCACCACGATGTAAGACGACACTACACAACTGTCACATTGTATACTGCTGTTTGACAAATGTATTCGCCCCGTGTGTTGCTAAATATAGTTCACCCACTGAACCTTATACAGTTCTGCAGTGACAGTAGAAACGAACGAAATAATATATTATAAATAATTATATTCAATAAAAGCGTCTCATGTCGAGAAACACCTGCCATCATACAAAGGTATTACCTCTCGACCACTAAAATAATTGTAAAAAAAAAAATACAATGTATAATTAACGCAATACTATTTCATTTTCTTAACACCATTCCCCCCCGCCCCTTTTTCTGCAGTACTCCATGTTGTCCACTAGTACAGTTTATGCCCAGCAGATTAAACACTAACGTACTGTATGTCTGTTGTACAAACGAAAACATCGATATTTTATTAAAACGTGCAACCTGTCTTTAATTATACTATATTAACTCATATGTAATAGTTTTAATTAATCATTAAAATGTCAACATTTGTTTTTTTAACAAATGCAAGTGATTATAACAGGCAGGGGGTTAAATCACTGCCCGTCATTTTCTGTTACTATTTGCTGTTTTATAAGTCAAAAAGTCTCTGCCTTTAAATATTGATGTATGATTTGTGCCTAAATGTAACGTTGTAGAAAGCTCTGCAGTGGCCTAATGAAATGGGTAATTACAAAATAACCTATGGAATAGAAAACTATATTAAACTGAGCAGTATTTTTCACTGTGATAAAAGGGGCCATAAACATGTATAAATAAGTAATTATTTACGTGGCAGGGTAGATGGATTTTAGGAATGGTATAAAGCAGGCAGTTTAATCAGCCAGGTGATTTAGAGATCAGTGTTTTTGTCTTCTCTCTCTCTCGCTCTCTCTCTCTCTCTCTCTCCAGTACCAGGTCTCACCTACTACTCAGATACTAAGTTGCCACAGCATGACAGTTATGATCGTCAACACATCACTTAACAGTGACTGAACTGTGAATGAGAAATGATGACTCTTACACAGCAGACCCAGCACAGAATGTTTTAAACGAACAGATGAAAACACTGACAATCTTTGTCATTTTTTGTCAGGTTTGTGAATAGCTTGAGGTCTAATATAGAGTTAATAAATGGGGTAGTATAATCTTTACGACGACACTGCTCCGTGTGACCCCAAAAGAACGCAGACTAAGAGAGGATCAGGTAGAAATCGGGCAGGTCTGAAGTCCTCATTGCCCCCCAGTGAGAGTCGCAGCAGATAAAAAGCTTTTGTAAGCAGCTCACTCTCGTGGGCCTCGTTCCTCCGACTCAGTGGGAGTGTTGAGTCAGGGGTAATTCAGCCGGAGCCTCCAGTAATCTGAGCACGGACCTATTTTATCACCTTTGCATCTAAAGAGAGCATTTTGCTTTGGCACAGAACATTTTATTGATTCCTTTCTGCTGCTGCGCTGCCACTATCAGGCCATGACAATAATCAGTTGTAAGAGCAGATGCAGCTTGAATTCTTATTCCCGACATCCACAATCTGCTGCTCTGTGGTGTCGCTTGTCAATATTAAACATTCGGTTTTAGAAAGTCATGTCTTAGGAGTTCATTTACACTCGTTTACATATACATGACATTCGGTTTTAGAAAGTCATGTCTTAGGAGTTCATTTACACTCGTTTACATTTACATGTACATCGCTATACACATATACACGTATACATATATACATGTATACATATGTACATGTATACATGTATACATACGTAAATGTAGGTATGTATATATAGAGTCTATATACATTTTTTCCTATATTAGTCATAAACTACATAATACATGCATAATGCATATGAACCAATAAACTTGAGTCCACTACTTGGACCTTTGCAGCAGCATGGCTACCTCGATTTCTTATTCGTAGTCTAGGCCTGTCTCAGATTCTCTTTGTGGATTGTCACAGCGGTTAGATGATGCTCTGGGTTTCAACCTGCCAGCCCAGGCCTTTGTTTGGTGGTGACACGTTCCCCCAGTGTCTGCATGCCTCTCTGTAGATGTTTCAGCTTCCTCCCACAGACCAAGGACAGGACTCTAAATAGGTGTGTCAAACTGTGAGCTGTTTTTTTTATATGCTGCCTCTGTGATAGACTGATAATCTGTCCAGGTGTGCTCTGCTGCTCACTGTACGTCAGCTGCCTTTGGCTCCATCTCCATCTGTTAGCTCGGTGGGATGAGAGGTGTAGATGATGGATGGATGGAAAATTGCATTTGGACATGTTGACAATTCTTTGCAAGTTAGGGCTGACATCCAAAATACTTTGTCTAACTGTCAAAAATGTCAATAGAGTGCAGCTGTTATCTGAAGTGGAAATTTCAGTTTTAACACTGGCCACTGTGTTTTGTCCCAGTGTGGAAAAAAATCACCTGAAGAAATTAGAATTGTCTTCTGATTTAATGTTTTTGTAATTATTTTAACTTTGCCACATGGTACCAGAATAGCTGGGAGCTTGTATGTTCCCAAAGTAGGGGGTGGGTCCCTCCTTAGGGTCAGTGAGCTATTGCATTTTTTGCATGTCCTGTCAATATTTATTATTCAGTTTCATTTCTTTTTTTAAGTGATTCCATGTTGCTACAGTTGAAGTGTAAATGAGGTGAAGCATCAGTCGTTGCCATGGAATATTCCGATGTGATAGACTAGGTCGTTATGTTTTGTCTCCACCAGGTGGTGCCTCATATCTACCGGGCCATTGCATCGAGACACCTCCCACAGAAGGACGTCAAGATGGTTCATCTGGACTCCCATCCTGACCTGCTGATTCCTGTCAACATGCCAGCTGACACGGTCTTCGATAAGGAGAAGCTTTTTAGGTATAACGATGTGTCTAAGGTTCTCCGATTGATGACAACAACTCTCTGAAGTGATACATGTCTTGACATTGACAACAACTCTCTGAAGTGATACATGCAGACATGTAGCTTTCAGATTTACTCCCAAGAAAAACATAGCATCTCTGCAAAAAATAGTATTTGTTTATTAAGTCCAGTAGTATAAATGCAGTCTGAGAATACTCTTTTTACCTTTAGGTAACACTGACAAATCCACCTAGTGTACAACTGTGGAAAAAAACTGAATTAACTGAAGTGTTTTGGTATCAAAGCTCACAGTATCTGTCCAGAGGCAGAAATACACTGTTGATCTACTACAGTGCAGTAAAACCTCCTCAGTGATGTTGCCCACTGCATTAACCTGGAGCCTTCATGTGGTGTATACACACACACACACACACACAGTGACAAACAAAGTCAAGTACCTTAAGAACACACTGATTCACAGGGAGTTTGATAAGTTATATAAGGACCGTCTCCTCTGAGCAGCTTCAGGACGCTGTGTGATTTAAGGCAGTGATTACAGTGCGTTCACACTGCCTTAATTCACGCCATGAGCTGTGTGTCACTCCCACAGCTGTATCTCAGCTGCCGACTGCGCTGATAAACAATCCAAGTCAATGCAGCAAATTACAAAAACCACCTTCCTGTTGTTCTGAAGCCGTGTCCTACACCTGCGTCTTTCGTGTCTCCTCACGTCTGTCCCTCGGCTGAGCTCTTTTTTTCCTGCCTACTGCTATAAAAAAAGTGCACAGATGGTCAGAAATAAAATTCAGTTATAAATAAGAAAAAAACAAATTTTAAAAAAACAATGTATATAAAAATGAAATCAAAGTTTCACACACTGGACTAAACCCTAGTAGATGGAAACAGGTCTGGAGCAGTTTGTTGATAGTGTTTTATCATCCTTTTTAATATCTGTAGAAATACAAGTATATATACATATGTATATATGCACAGTATATTAACTCAATTATATAATTTAAAATATACATGGAAATCCATTTTAATTCTCATGTTTTATTATGTATTTTTTGGTTAATGTTTTACATTATCATACTTTGTTTTGTTTCCCTTCTAGTGAGTTGAGTATAGAAAACTGGATAATGCCCATGGTCTACGCGGGCCATGTGTCCTGTGTGGCCTGGCTGCATCCTTATTGGGCTCAGCAGATTCCAGAGGGGGAGCACAGTATGGTCGTAGGCAGAGATTCATCCACCACCACCATCAGGTAGGATTCACACCACACAGACATTCTGGGGGTTTTTTTTTATATATATTTTTTTTTTATTCAAGTCCTCATGAGATAAACACCTCTTGATCTCCGCTTCACCTCTGCTTCACCGCCGCCTTCCTTCTCTTCAGGGTGACCAGCACAGACACCTACTTCCTAAGTGACGGCCTCTACGTCAGTGAGGAGCAGCTGGAGAACTCCAAACCTCTCAGACTCAGTGTGGTCCGAGTCAATCCTGTCCACGCAGCTCACCAATCACTCAAAGGTAAAAAGGAAAAATACTCTCAGATTAAAATCAGAAAAAATGTCATCATTGAAATTTCCAGCTCATATCGTTTTATGTATTGTTTACATTTTGTTTCAGACCAAAAAACACGGGAAAACACAGCGACATGGTCCAGGAAGAGGAGCCGGACAGAGTGCGCTCAGGCGGGAGAAGGCAGTTCATGTGAGCTCTTCCTAGCAGCCACTGGCACAGTTAAACCAGAAGAGGGCAGCAACGTCAAGACAGAACAGCGGATGCACGACGCAGCTCAGAGAGAGGACGTTGATAACGAAGGATCGATCGACTATGTTGCTAAGAGGATGTCATCGTGTTTGACTGAGACAGAGCCGTTCATATTAGACATTGACTTGGATTTCTTCTCATGTAAGAATCCTTTCAAGGAATTGTACACACAGGTACATTATTCTACCATACACACAACAGGCAAGCATTCTGAAACATGAATTATCTTATTGTATATAATATAAATGTTTTTTCAGAAAATTATAAAGCAAAAAAGAACGTAATTTATAATAATTCAATAATATTGTTTAATATAATAGCGTTTTCTATTTTTTTAAAGTCCACAAATGACATGTGTATGAATTATTTCTCTTGTGACTTTTTTCACTAATATTTAATAATTTAACATTTATTTGGTCATAATGAACAGCCTGTTTAAGTAACAGTAAAAATACCTTTTGGAATCTGGTAAGTATTTACCCTGTGCTAACTTGTCAACATGATATGGGAACAGTGAAATACAGAGGAGTTGGGATTTACATTGTTACATTCCTGTGTTCTTGTTGCTGTGTTAAGGAGGAATATACCATCCTGAAAGAACTCTACAGCTTCACAGGACCTGGCCCCGATGCTGATGAGGTCAGACTTTTTTACTTTGATACATAAATATAGCTATACATGCTAGAATAGTCTTTCTCCATATTAATAATTCCATCACTTGGATCAGTCTCAAACTAAAAACAGATGTGAAACACTTCTACATCTACCTGCTGTAACTCAAACTAAAAACAGATGTGAAACACTTACATCTACCTGCTGTAACTTCTCTTTCTCTTCCAGCGATACACAGAGAATAGTTCTCTTGCCAAATATAGGAATGTTCATTTAATGACAATATTCTGAATTCATCCTGATTCATTAGTTCTCTGTTTATAATACATTTTCAGACATATTTGACCTGTCTACACATGTGTCTTTTCGTCCAGGAGGAGCTGGATGAGGTTGTGAGCAGACGTACACATCAGTTGGAGGATCTGGAAGCAGCCTTCGCTGACCTGATTGACAACGATGAAGAGGAGACGGTGAGACGCTGGGCCAGTAATCCTGGGTAAACTGCTGTTTACATCTGATGGCATTTTGAAAACACAAATACAATGAATACCAGTGGACGTGCAGTACTTGTTATGTGAGTGTAAAAGTGTAAATTCACACTGTTCAAGTCAATCAAATAAGTTCATGTTCTTACTTGTTATGTGAGTGTAAAAGTGTAAGTTCACACTGTTCAAGTCAATCAATTAAGTTCATGTATCTTGCAGGATGAGCTCATTAGTCCAGCTGGTTCATAGTTTAAAGTCCAGAGACCCATGTCCTGACTATGAAATGGTAAGAATTATAACCACACACTGACCTTCTTTATGGAGGTGTTCCCTCTTTGCTTCATGGTCTGTCCTTCATATCAACATGTGACCTTTCACAGGTCCATCAGGCAGGGTTGACCTGTGATACCGTTGAGCTGCCACACCATATCAGCCCTGAGGAGGAGATCGACAGACTCATCTGTGCAGTACAGCTGGTTCTTTCAACTCTGCCCAAACCCACGTTTGTCACCATGTCCAGGTAATTGGCACAGTGTCGAACCTCATTTATCCAAACAAAGACCGAACAGGAGACAGTGGTCTGTGAGGACGTTAATGTGACGCTGTTTGTTCATGTTTGTTTTTCAGGTCCAGTCTGGATGAATACTGCCCCATAGAACAGGTGGACTCAATTCAGGACAGAGTGTTGACTGTGGTGGAGACCCTGTACGGTCCACTGGACATACACAAAGAGTATGAAGACAGCAGCACAGAGACTGTGCAGCCGCAGCCACAGGCCTCTTAACAGACTACCACACTGAGGCTTTTTCTAATGTCTCATCACAGGCCATATATGTGGGCCACAAGTGGCCCCCGGGCCGGCAGTTTGGTGCCCCTGCTCTAGCGAGAATGAAGATTATGAAACCTAATTAAAATGGTGTTTTTGCTGACTCCAAACCCAAGATTTTTGTAGTGTTGGGTTTTATGAAGTCAATCTCAAATATCCAACACACAGGGTCACAAACATGAGTGTTGGACGTGTCATTGTCATCTGTCATCGAAAACTACTCAGTGATGAAGAGCCACTTCCTACTTTGTTGTTGCTCTGATCAGAGCCTGTCGTGTAGTTAACGTGTGTACTGTGAATTATTTGACATGGATGCACTAATGATTTAGCTTCTGTTAGCCTGGCTGTAGGCTAGCAGCAGAGGTCACCAAGGTGACTTGGCCAGGTTAGCTTGTCCTTTTGTGCAATCGACAGAATAAGTTCAGCCAGGACTCCATTTTTATTTTGTAATTTTTTTTTCATATTAGCTTTGTTAGGAATTTAGTTTTTAAAATTAAGTCAGATAACTCATAATTACACACACTAAAAAGCAGAAAATGTTTGGATTCTTACCCATCATGTTTAGTCTGAGTTTGAAGAAACACAAGGGGCTTATTTCAATAAAATTACCGTACACTCCCACATCTCAAAGCCTCCTTTAACCTCTAATAAACTGAAAACAGATGTATGAAATGTGTGTGTGTGTGTGTGGCTGTGGTTGACGTGAAGAAAACATTCCTCAGCTGCCTTTAATATCTCAGCTCACAGCTTTTAGCTGCACCACTGCAGAGAAACCTCTCTTCTCCTACAGCAGATGGAGGAGGATTTACTAAGGATTCTTTTTTTCTCACACAGTCAAAGATAAGAATCATTGTCACTGGAAACAAATCCCCGCACAGGAAATATTTCATCTGATACTTTTATCTCAGTCTGAGTTCTGTTTATGTATTTAAAAACTAACAGGAACCATATCGTGTGTGAACACTGAGACTCAAATAATGTCAACTATTGTTTTTCACACTGAATAACAGAGTTGCTTTAAACTTGTTTTTTTGTCTAGTCATTTCCCTGTAGTTGTATCCTTTATATCTGTACACATACCCTTAAAACAACTAAGAGATTCTAAATTAAATTTACCTAAAGTTGACTAACCATATTAAACAATTTAATTATTTCTAAAATAATCAGGACATTGGTGTGAGTGATTTTTTACGTTACTCTTGAAATAAAGATTGTTTTAGTTTGATAATTTTGTGCTTTAACTAAAGGCTAACATGTATTATCTTGCGTGAATATGAGTGGTAAGATGAAGAATATTCAAACAATAATTTACTTCACCAGTAGATGCCGCTATTCCTTCATGTTGCTAAGTTCTGGTAGTGTACAATGTACACATAACGTATGTAATGTGTACATTGTACATGCAATGTGTACATTACATTGTACATTGTATAATATGTTGTCCAGATACTGATGTATCATTTGGATGAAGTTATGTGAAAACTTATGTTTGAAATGGGAGGGGTGTGGGTTGGTGGGTGGTGGTGTGTTTTGGTTACGTTTGCCCCGCACGTGAACGCATCCATTAGTCAACGTGTGTCATTCTCCGCACGATCGGTCCCTGACTGCAGCAGCTAGAACAACTTAACGGTCAAAATGAAGAAGTTTAGTTTGTCTCGACTTGTCCTCATTCTTTTCTGTGCAGTGGTTTTTGTTGTTGTCTTAATTATAAACGCGTTGGCCGGAGCGGGTAAAGGTACGTTTTATACCCCGTGTCTGTTAGAATCAGTCATTTCACTGACCACTATATGTGTCAGTTTACTAAACCTAGTTTAGAAAATAAGTTTTCTCAGAGAATCTATGTGTCGGCCGCTGAAAACAGTTAAAATGAGATTTAATATAATTACGTTTCATGTTACGTAACGCAACAATAAGTTCGTCTCCCTGTTTGTGGCATATTACAGAAGTACTCAGGGGATAATGATGTTTTTTTCCATTACCGTGTGCTTTGTTTTGTTGTTATGTCACTTAGCATGTGAAGCTAATAGCCGTTAGCCAGAGTTGTTTGAACGCGACTGGATGTTACTTTGCTGCTGAGGCGAATACTTTGCTTATTTAGTTAGTGAGTTGGTTAGTTATTTAGTAAAATAGAAGTGACCACTCTTGCAAATGGGTCTAGAAGTAGTTTGGCTAAATTCGACTTCTTCGCCAAATGTCTCTGGTTCTGTTGTGTGTGTCTGTGTGCAGCTAAAAGCCATATATAGACGTTCCACCAGTGTTCATGCTGCATCAAAAATATCTTTTAGTAAAAATAAACCACCCCCTACTCCAGGATACTAAAATGTATTTATTTTTTTTACCGAAATTAATATCAACAATGAAGTATAATATTATTTTACAAACATTTTCAGTGTTTATCTGATACTCATTTTTGTGTATTAAAAAAGTCTTGACAGGGTGTGGCACTAAAATCTGGCTTCAGGATTTTCCAAAGGATGGAGGAGTCATCGTTTCCCTGTACAGTCTCCCCAGTGTAGTAAAAGTCATTGTTGTATTACTTTCTGCTTCCCATCTATTGTGGGAGGCCTTCACTTTTTTTCCCCCTTGAAAATATAACTAATATTCTGAGGATTTGGATCGTCTTCTGTAACATTGACTAGTGTGGCTAAAGCTTTAGCGCCCCCCGCTGTTTATGTTTGATTATGCTTGGTTGATGAAGTTGCATTAGTTCTACTGTTTGCAGAAGTGATGTGGTTGAATTTAGTAAATTCTTCCTCTATATTTACAAGGGATAACTGTTGAACTTCATGTTGGCTAAGGCAGACAAAGCAGAAGTGGAAAGAGAAGACAGGAGGGAGATGGGATCATAAATCTGGTCTGGGTTTTTTTTGTACAATGTCTTACCAAGTACATACTGAAGCTCAGATATTGAACCATTTTTACCACAGAAACCTAATGAAGGAGAGTCTAGACACTTACTGTACGTGGACTCCACAGAATCCAACCTTTAACATTGTTAAAATATCTGTGATGTCCTGAACAGGGAGTGGTTCACGGAGCAGCCAACATCTGGAAAACAGTTTCAGGCTGTTCTTTAAAAGCCTTGAACACTTTTTTGCCAGCTTACCTATAAAAAACATCAGTAAATATTGATGGGAGTAAAGTAAGGACTGTTTCAGATCTGTCATGTTTTGGTAACATGTTTCTATGGATGTTTACATTACAAGGACAACTAACAATGCGAGTCATTTCCTGGATGAGAACATGGATTCCAAAGAACTGGAGTTTTTATTTTATGTGTTAGAAAACAAGCTTTGGATGTTTGATAAAATGATCCCAGCCTCAGTATTCCTGCTCTCACTAATTATCTTGATTTTCCAGGCTTTTTTGGTTCCTCTACTGGTAACGTGTCGGCCCGCTATGAGACAGACATTACCCCGGCCGGCTGGACCTTCTCTATCTGGGGTGTCATCTACACCTGGCTGACCTTGAAGGTCATATACATCACCTCCTATGCTTTCAGAGGGTAAGCTCATGGTCGTAGCTACTAGCTGTACTAATGTTGGTACACATTAAGTCTGTCAAAGCAGCTCCTCAGAGCAACATACAGATGAAAGTGATACTGTGCTTCTGTTTATAGATCCTGGGCTCAGTATCTGCTCCCCTGTGCCTTCTATTTCTGCTGGCTGTCCAGTTTGGTGATGAATGTGACCTGGCTGCTGCTGTGGGACAGAGAGTATGTTTATGGTTTACACTGATTACTAAGTAGTTCTGTGGGGTTGTTTTGTAAAAGCAAAATGAATTCAGTATCATGTTCCGGCCGTCAGAGTTCTACTTCCTTTTTTTGCTAACAGCTAATCAGTGTTTTGTTGTCATGGAGATTACAGCCCGTTTATACATGCTGACCAAACCAAAACACACTGTGAAGGACAGGAGAACATCCTCTTTTCATATGGTCAAGGTCCACAAATTCATGGCGTCTATTTGAGAGCCACTAGATCTTCTTCAGTTCAGCTAGTACTGCTTATAGTATAGTGTAACAACAGGGCTATCGTACAGCGAGTGTAGTCACTGGTACTTTATGACCTCTCTGTCCTGCAGGGTAATGCTGGCGGCTCTGGTCGTTCTCATCATGATCGTGATTTCCAACTACTGTGCCTTGTTCTTCTGCTGCTACGCCACCGACTACTATGGAATCTGGTTGCAGACGTACCATCGCAAAGACCTTGGCTGTCTCTACATACTGGTACGAACAGGAAGAACGTTTGGAGAGAACCAAACCAAACACAAGCGGTCCCTCTGGTCTGCGGTCACTTCACCTCAGCCTGTTTGTCATGTTGCCTTGTTCAGGTCCAGAACGGTCTGGCTCTCTACACCACCTGGACGACCATCGCCTCCTTGATCAACTTCTCCCTGGTTCTGCACATGTGGGGCGTGGACAAGAGCACAGCAGCCACGGCCTCCCTCTGCATCCTGTTTGCAGAAGTGGCGGGATGGTAAGACCTGCTCAGAAAAGATGGAACACAGGATACATTGGTCAATTGTTCTGACAAAATAACATACTTAACAATTCAATTTTAATGCAAGAGTACACGTAACAATATACACAACATATTCACTCTATATAGTGTTTGAAAATGTATCATCACTCAACTCTATCTATCGTGGGTCACTGTGTAGACAGCCTGGAACTGAGCATTCTTGACTTTTTTTGTTGCCTAGGTTCATCCTGGAGAACTGGGTTCTGGACCGCTGGGTGCGGAACATCCTGACTGTCTACCCAGTGGTGATCGTGGCCCTGGTGGGAAACCTCTACAAACATTACCACTCAGAAGATCCCACTCCAAACTCTATATTCATGAGTAAGTTGAACTAAAAAACCACACACACATACACACACTGAGGCACTCTGAGGTCACGCACCAGAGGTTTGTACCTCATCACTTTTAAACAAATGTGTCTAAACATTTCCAGTGCATCATAACTGGAAAACTACTGTAGTTTTCTGAGGTACCTCTCTTGTTGATCTGTATTTACTTTAGTACGTATGAGGTTCTAGTCACTCACCGGTTCTTTGTGTTTGTGTGTCATCAGTCGCACTCTTGGTGCTGGCCTGCGTCCTGCTGCTGTCCCGGGTCTGCACAGTCATCTGGAGGAACAAGTGGCGCCCCCTACACTCACCAGGCTCAGCTCGACTGATGGTGTCTCCTCTGGACAACAGGAAGTTCAGGCTCTTCACTTAAACAAAATGAAAGAACCGGCTCCTCATATATTTACACAACACACTTCAGTATTCGTTCAGTCATTGAACTGCAGTGACAGTAGAACTAGTTTCTGTCTCCTTTCTACACTAACTGCATTGCTCGCACACATTAAACCCTTTTTTTATGAAGTACTACGACAGTTAATCACTACTTTGCTGACGTTTGATGAAGTCTGAAGCACTTTGTGCTGCAGTTCTTATCTTTTTTATATTGCTATTTTAAGCAAGTGTTATAATAGAATTTTATGCTTTTTTAATTTGCACACAACTCTCAATAGATGTAGTTTTTTGGCAAGTATATATTTTGACTAAGAATTTACAGGATTGAATACAGTGTTTTTCTGCTAATAAAGCTTTAATATTAATATTTGGTCTGATTTATTAGTTGTCACATTATGAGCTACGACAGCACACACATCCAGACACACACATCACGGCTGTGACAGAACCTTTGACCTATTGCTTCACAGTAAGTCATAGGAGTCACGTTGGCTCTAACTTTTTTTTAAATTAAAGTGAATAAACAAAATTTCTTGGATCAGAACTAGATTATATGACCATTCTGTTCTAAATACCGTTACATATATTTTTAGCCTGTATAGCTTTACATGACAAGTCAGTGACCCACCTAATGCCATTGGCAATTAAGTTTCCTCGCGTACCACCGGAGGGAGCCCGAGAGCTACTACTAATACGCGTATCGTTAGATTCTTTAGGGGGAAAAAAACATTGAAAAACGTGTAAATGTGTTCAGTGAGTATATTACCAGTGATGACCTGACGTATAACACCTCAAGTGCTGCACACCAACTTCAAAGCAGCCAATGGAAGCGTCCGGACAGTGTCATGTGCCAGAAGATGAGTCTCCAGTCCACAGCAGTGAGGCTTCAGCTGCACTTCCAACTTTTTCCCATGCACTCTCTTGCTCTCTGGACTTTTATCCATTTGCCGTCTGACATTTGTGAGAACCTACATACATACACCCCTGAACAGGTCTGACATTTGTGAGAACCTACATACACCCCTGAACAAAGAGGTTCCAAAAAGTACATGTGGTATGTATATATGTATAAGAAGTAAATATACAGTCTATATATATATATATCCTTCTCCTCACCTTTGCCTCTTGTCTCTGTACCTGCAGCTCGTGGTTTTCTGGCAGCTGAAAGTCTGTGAACCTGCCTACGGACAAAGGTATTTACTGTTTAAACATTTGATTATTTGTTGTTAAACAATTGGCTATGTTTAGGTAAACAGGAGCCAGTGTGTGATGGTGGAGGCCTTTGATGTAAACATAAATCAGACCATCAACATCACTCATCATCACTCAGAGAACAGAGTCGTAGGTGCCACACACTCACTCAGCTGCAGGACACATTCTTACCTCCACAAACTTAAAGACTAAGGAGAATCTGATCCTCCGTCAATGCACCTCTTAACAAGGTTAACAAGAACTGCTGAAGCTCCACTTCAGCCAGCTCTGATTTTGTGAGGGGCAAACACTGCTGTTTGTTGTTTTAATAATTCAATTAGAGTCACATCAGATGCATTAGCCACATGATGAAGCCTCAACAGGTGCAGGAGGTAGAAGAAGATGATGATGATGGTGGACGCAATAAATAAGTCAATATTAATTATCTTATTTGTTATCACAATTTTATATATACACGTTATATCTCTTTACATTTTCAACACTTTATGTGCTTTCCTACTAGATAGATAGCTGGATAGACAAGTTTGGGTTTTTTTATTATAAAATCATCTGACTGTCACATGTTTGCATTTTCTATATTTATCCTACAGCTGCGGTCTGTGTGTTTAGTCCAGCTCAGGCTAAATTTGTTGAACTGTTCCTGGTCCAGAGATACAGTGAGTCACAGTGGATCATAAATCATGACTGTGAGCATCATGATAGAGATCAAATAAATGGTTATGAGCATCAGAAGGTTGACGTTTTCTCAGAGGGGAGTCACTGACCCCACACACATTATCAGTCCGTCTCTCCCTCAAAACTGTCCTTAAATAAATCTGGTCCTGGTCAAGATGAAAATATCTGAGCCAACCGTCTGTGTCCCTGACATGTCAACTTTGCTGTGTTAGAAGACACCCTCTCTGTCTCTCTCCGTCCTGCTGGGCGTCTCCAGGAGGACAAACACTCTTCAGTAATGTTTGGACTTGCAGCCTCCTGCAGCCCTTCAGTCTGAGTGCTGTAAATCTGTCAGGATCTAATGTGATGTTAGAAAGTACTCAGAGGCCGTTTTGTCAACATATCAGTTCTTTATGATTAGACCGACATCCTAGGAGTGTACATTAACATGAACGTCTTCCTGAGCTGATAGACGCCCAGATGACACCACTGAACAGACCGTCAGTCATCAGCTAATGAGCGCCATTATGCCCTGCATCAATTTGTGAAAATAACTTGCGTGTCTCTTATATCCAGACTGATAACGGGGAATTTGCAAATCATTTTGATCTGCCCATTCGTCTCGCCTTTCTAAAGGTTGGGCTTCGTCGACAAAATAGTTCTGTTGGGTTTTCAACGCCCACTATTTTCGTCATAGTTGACTGAACTTTGATGACTACTTTTCTCTGGATCCAAAATAATCATCCCACAGAAACAAACGCAATGGCGGGCCGTGGAAGTATGCTTTTATGTGTTTAGGAAAGGTAAATAAAAAATTAAATGAACTTCTATCAACTTATGACCATGATTTAAGTTAGGCCAATCCTTTGTTTTAAAGGAATAACAAGGCTTGTTACATGAAAAAGCTGTAACCTTATGAGCAAAAGAGTTGTAACGTCAGAAGAAAGAAGTGGATAATTTATATTAAATGTAAATATGGACCATACTGGAGTAAACCGGTGTGTTTCTCTGTGGCAGCATGGCTTTACTGTATCTGTATAAATACCTGAAGAAATGATCCGGCCACAGCCACTAGAAGAAGACACTAAAAGCCCACTTAAGCAGCAGCACCTCAGAGTGCACACAAAGTGCATCCATGTTAACGATGTAAGTAGTGTGAGAGTTAATCTCATTTTTACTAGTGTTGTTTTTTTTTTTGGCTACTGGGCCTGACGTTGTTGACTTGTTGTTGGTGGAGCTAAAACCAAACAACCGACCGCATATATATATAATAAAATATTATTATAAAATGTATCACTCCTCCACTCCACCCTTGTGGAACATGAGTAAAATAGTTGTACAAAGCCAGATTAAAACACTAAAATAATGATGAACAACGATAAGATTGATTCAAAAAAGTTTATATCTCAACCTTTTAATAATTTCTCTACCACAGCGTGAATGCTGACTTTATATCTGTCATGACGAGGTCCAAACACTTGTAGAGTGCAGTCGGTTTTGTCATAGTTGGCCAGAAGACGGCGACATTCTGCAGAAAATAAAATTAAAATAAAAACAGCTTATTTGGTCAAACTGGAGGAACAACACTGGGACTTAAATACTTGGATGTTCCACGCTGACAAACAACAATAATAATACTTTGGTAATGTTTTAATAAAAATGTGATATAAGGACAGAAACATTTTTTAATGCAAAGAAAGCTTATTGAGTTTGTTTGTTCAAATTGAGCTGTGAAAATACATGTAACACAACACAGCGAGTAGCTCTCAAGTAGAACAAGCAGCACAGCATTCATCAGGAAACTCAGGTGAGTCAGGAACAGAACCTGAACCTGAGAACTGTTGTGTCCATTTGGCCTGGGAGCTTATCAATAACCCTCAGAAGAATCTGATGAATAATGGATCAAAGACAAATGTTACTTAAGATTCAGATCCATCTGAGGGATTAGATCAGCAGATGGAAACCTCAAACAGCAGAGTCAAATCAAGGGCTGACATGTTCTCAGGTTGGTTATTGATTGATGATGGCTGCAGTTCACGGCCCTTTGTGGTGACACTCTGGTCCCAACGCTCCGACTCATCTGGGAATCTGAAGCCTCTGGGGGGAAGGCAGGGAGGGGGGTGTTCTTTAACAGGGGGAGCCTGTGGAAGTCAGCTTTTCCTTTAGCCTCGTTCCGCTGTTTATGTTCCTGATAACTCAATCCATTTGGCGTTGAAGCCAACTGGTGATTCATCACATCACCAGAAACAGGATCACTGTCACTTTAAGTGCAGCTTGACCAGAGAGAAACCACAGGAAATATAAAAAGTTTGTTCTGGAAAATTAGCTCATATTTATACATTATATTATTATATATTGACCTGTGGAACTTCATTTACATTTTGTGTTTACAGTTGTTTGTGTATTTAATTTGGTGGTACAGTGATAGTGATAGTTGTGCTGTTTTGTTACATAAGCCATAATGACTTTAACATAATGTTGACTGTATCTGAGCTTCTGTTGGAGGACCAAGCTGTCAATCACACAGTATCCAATCATCATAAATCATAAAATAACCACTCTGATGCTGGATGGCAGATTGTTGAGTCTCTTTTTTTTTTTACATAAAGTATTCAACAAACCGTGCCCACCTAATGCACTGAAGGGGAAACAGCAGCGTTCCTCATCAATATCCTTGTCAAATGTATCAACGTTTGATTGATCAGTTTTAATCCTAACTTAATGCTTATGTAAAAACTTGGCCGTACCCCCTCGTCCATAAACAAGTAAACATGAGGTCAGCGCTGCTCAGCTTGTTCTTGAACGCAGTTTCTTAATGCTGGTAATAAATAACCTTAAGTGGAGTTTAAGTGTTTTTATCTGGAATAAAACTCAGTTACAGTAATCCCTACATTCATTATTTTTCCAGGAAGTGTCTGGCTTACTGCTGCTTTAATGATCTTCCCACCAATCAGGATCGTCCAAACACACATTCTGTCCTCAATCTGATAACTTGTCAAGCAAGGAGTTTTTCTGGTGTCCTAATGGGAATGCTGTGGAATCAGGAAAAATGATAGGCGACCGCCGTTACACTGGATTTGTAGCATGATATTTGTCAAGTGAAGAGTTTTAAATCAAAGCGCTGTGTGAGGCCACATGGCTTTACTGTCAGGCATCACTTTTTTTGATTTTTGATCCAATTGCAGGGCCTTATAAATGACTTAAAGCCATAATACTGAGTGGAAAAACAACATAAATCCTATGTTCCGTCTGCCACTCTGCTCAGCTTCATAATAGAGAAGACATAAAGGAAGAAAATAACAAGTAGACTTCAGTTCTTACATCATGATAGTTGCAGCGTGTCAAGCCTCATAACGATGTCACAATTCAGTTGACATCATGGCCTGTGTTGTCAACTAAACTGAGCAGTAAAAGCACTATCATTGTGTAACACGTCAAAACACATCAAATTAGATTTTTATTTAAAGATTCTTTTGTTATATATTATTATTATCAAACTTACTTTTGACAGCTTCTTTAAATTAGTTTTTGTCTATTTTTGAAAATTATATTTTAAATAAAAAAAAATATTTACTGTGGGTATGACATTATTTATTTAAATTATTAATTTAATATTTAGTTTCTGGAACTTCGGGCATGTAATATGTTAAACTGTATACTTTATGGTGTCCGATTTATTATTTATATGTGAAATTCTCCTTTTGTTTATGTTTTTATTCACTTAATGTGATTAATTAATTCATTTTTCCCTCCAGGTGTAATAATTCAGACAGAAAAACAGGTAAGTTGGTTAATTTAAATAATTTGTAGCTACTTAATAATTAGTTGTTAATTAGTAAATAAACATATACTAATATTGCTATATTATTACAGTTATAGTTCTATGTAAAACTTTATACACAGTGCCTTACCCCAAATGGATCATAACCCACCATTTGGAAAAAATCAGAGGAAGTGTCTTTAAAAAACCCCCACATATAAATAATTAATAAATAAAGTTGGATGTTTTTGGCTGTACAAAAGCTATATTTAATCCAAAGCAGATATGTCACCTCTGACTGTCCTCTGACTCGGTCATGCGTCAAACCTCAACAACTGACGTCTACAGCAAACTCCCAACAAAAATATAATCACCGTCCCTTTCCCTAAAAAATTAAATAGAGATTTTGGAGATAAATGTATAAACATCTCGGAGCACTTCAGGGTGGGAGTTGGAGCCACATGACGCTTGTCTTGTTTACTCTGCACAGAATCCGATTAAATGTAAACACAGATGCTTCTTTAGTCCGAGGTTCCCCGCCAAGAAAATTAAAAATAATACTAATTAAAACTGGCCAAAACAAGATTCCTGCCCTGTAACGGAGAATGTCAGAGACCCATTCAGTGATGACACGGAATTGCCTGAAGAGGATGTGTAGGCTCGACTATGACCAGCGGACGTCGCTGTTTCTCTTACCAGCTGAACAGCACTAGCTCTAAATAGGTGCAGCAGTGATTGAAAATCTTTTTATTTTCTTTACATTTATACGATTGACTCCTATTGGTATGACTTTTTTAACTTATTATTTCTTACTTAAAGTTAAAGTTTTTTGTATAATCGAGATACGTTTGATAATGTCCACTTATATCTTAATATTTTTGGCATCTGTCCCAGTTCTTGCTTCCAATTATCACAGGGGGCTGGGCCGCTTTCCAGACACGGGTCTGTGATTGGATGGCAAAGCATTCAGTCAATCAATTCTCTGTGACGTCGTTTTTGGCGAGTTTAGTCCACACCAGAAGTCAGAAAGTCAAATTTTATAGTGGTGACTAAAGGAGTCAGTAGCGTGGATGTGGTTCTTCTCAACGTCCTTATCACGTTACAGTAAAATACTCTTAATTTTTCCACTGTTAAGTTACCTTTTAATGTGGTTTTGTTTAAAAGCGAGATAATTTGATTTAAAGGACTTGTTGGCTCTTCTGTGGGTTTTTTTTTCTTTCTTTCTGAGGCTCCTGAGTGTCCGGCGGCTAACATGAATTAAGATGCTAAACGTTAGCGACTGAGGGGCGACGGTGTGTTTATTTGACCGGCGTCATGCTTGCTGTGGTGACTGTGTGTGGAATAAGCAGCCGGGTCCAGGTGTCATCAGGGAGAACCGCTCCTGCTGCTTCTTCTTCTCCTTCTCCTGCTGCTGCTGCTGCGGCTACTGTGGACGACTGGAGGAGCGCGGCGCCCGTTTGAACACCGCTGGGATTTGACAGAGCAGGAGTTTGGGATGTCCGACAAACCCTAAAGAGACATTAACCCAGTTAGTTTAGCCTGGATTCAACAAGGGCTGCCCCGCAGCCATGGCCTCTGAGGTGGTGTGTGGGCTGATCTTCAGGTTACTGCTGCCCGTGTGTCTCGCAGCTGGTGAGTTTTAATTTTTTATTTTTCCTCTATAATTTAAAAATGTTTTTAACTCCTCTTTTCTCTGCCATAACCCACAGTGTGAATGTCATGACATCAATAACAAAGTAATATAAATATAAAAAAACTACAAAGCCCATAAATCAACTGTTTAACTTGAGGCTAATGTGAATTCTGATTTAAAGTTTGTTTATCTAAAGACTGACCCCATGGGGTGGGAGGTCAGAGTTCATCCCCTGTCACCCTGGGGATCTGCTCCCAAGCAACTCCTACAACTGTCATTAAAATGAATGATAATCTCAAGGTAAAGCAAAATCATCATGTTTTTACTGTGACCTTTTTATTATATACAGTCAGACTGAAATCATCAGAAGAAAAAAACAGACAGAACGCTGACGCCTCCAACGTTTTATCACCTTAGATTAACCTCGTGTTATCTTTAAGATTAACCTGAATGATAGCACAAGAGCCATGTCTGGGATGTTTAATTTTTTTTAAACCAATAAGTGATCACCTAATTGTGTGTTCGGCTGCAGATTGACTTATTAAATCCACGCCTGTGGTGTGAATGTTACTGATTTTCATGTATACTACACTGACAGCGTCAGAGTCGCACGGCTGGTGTGTTGTTCCCTCTTCCTCCAGTTCTCACTCTGCAGTGTTTTGGTTTGTTTACAACATTTTTAACTCAAAAACTTAAAGTGTCCTGTGGGTAGAGACTGACTGACTACTGCTGCTGCTGCTGCTGCTGCTGCTGCTGCTGCTGCTGCTGCTGCTGCTGCTGCTGCTGCTGCTGCTGCTGCTGCTGCTGCTGCTGCTGCTGCTGCTGCTGTGTAACTGGACTGGTTTCAATGATTCACACTCTCATCGGTGCTGAACGCCACACCTCTGTGGCGTTCAGCACCCTCTCAGTTGACAGGAGTCCTTGTATCTTCTGTGGTCGTGGACTCTATAAATGCAGATTTGTTTAAATGCTGGGACTGTGATCACACCTCGGGTGCAGACTCTATTAAATGAGACTTACTCTGTGTTTTAGGCAGTAATTCTGTGGTAGGCCACAATTGAAAAAGTGATTAGCGTCTACCTGCCACAAAGCTTTCACTTTGGTGTCTGTGTAAGACTTATTATGCTGACGTAAAAGCTAACAGCATGCTTTCTATAGATAAGGCCCACTCAGTACCACCATAATGCATCACTTGACAGCCCGACGCCCCCTTTATTTCCAAAAGCAATTGCGAGGCCATGCATCGTCTCCATTAATTCGTGGAAAGTCGTTTTAACAGTATGAATTAATAATGCGGTTGTGAGCGAGACAAGAATTGCCTTCCCTTTTATCGTAAACATACCTTTAATATTTTATGGTTTTTTTTTTTGGTTTTTTTTCAAAGTGCAAATGAGCAGAGTTACTCTGCAACCGGGGGCCGGCAGGACGACAGGATGAGGGAAATGTAAAGTGCAAACACAGGGACGTTTACATGTCGGAGGAGTGTTTGGGAGGAGACACTGTTCTGTCCTCCATCCATGTTGTCCTGTTAGGAACAGGCTTTTTTTTTTATCTCTGTTGTCGTTACATGGGAGAATACAACGTGCTGTGTTTGTGTTGTGTCTGTTGGTCATAAAGGAGCTGTAGAGAAACACATGTTTGTGATGTGCACAGTTTTCACGTCCCAAACAGAAAAGACCTGTCTGCTGACGTTACATTGTCTCTGCTTCCTGGTGGCCATCTGACAGCACCTCTATTCAAAAGCACAGAACTGTCGGGTCCGTGAGTACACACACTTCTCACACACACACACAGTTACAGTTTTGCTGATCAAACAGGCCGGTGGTTTGGTGTTTACTCGGCACAGTCTGGAGCAGCTACAGTACATGACTCTGAGGGACTAGCTCTCCCAAGATGGTCCCATCGGATGACGACCAGAGTTTGGTGAAAGTAGTGGCAGAGAAGCAGATCACTGTGGCTGTCTGAGGCTGCAGGCTGCAAATAAAAACCAAACACAGAGACCCGCAGGGTTGGCTGTGACGTTGGAAACATCACTGAAATCTGACACCTTTCTCTCTGTTTTGACTTTTAATTTGTGGCTATTTTTGACAAAAATCTATTTCTGTTTACAGTATGCGACGTGTCGTCACGTACAGTAGATGCTGTGCCTCAGCGTCATGAATCTGCAGATGGCCACAGTCGACCAATCGGAGAGCAGAGCCTGTGGAAACGATGCTTTTAGCTAATTTACAGCAACACATATTTATCCTGCTAGTTTCACTGGATTATTACTCTTATGAGGAGTCTTCATTTTAATGTGTTGTAATTATATTTATATACAAAAAAATCCTTGTGAATTAAATAATGTTGAGGAACTCAAATAATTATAAGGTGACAAATTAAAAATATTCTAAATTCTAAAACTGTAGCCTTGTGACCCCTGGGTCAGTCATGCCTTTAAGGAGGATCAGAAGCAGCGGGAAAAAACAAGCTGCATGAGTCACTCTGTTCTGAGGGGATTTTGACAAAACAGGTGTCTTTTATAAAATGACTCATTTCAGTTCATTCTTGGTAAAATGTCAAAATGTATAAAGATGGTTGACAAAGGTCAAAACAAACAGAACGCTATCTTACTTTACTACTTTAATCACAAAACTAGAAAATTAGTTTAAGATTAACTTAAGGATGGGCTTTTCCCATGGTTATTCTGTGTTTTAAGAGATTCTAAAAGTTTAAGAAAGTTTAATATTGCACCATACAGAGTATTATAAAATAAACTTCCTATTCATGTCATAACTTTCTATCTAGGTTTATCTAGTCCTAATCCTTCTACATTTTGTTCCCGTCCAGGTTTTTATTCTCTAAAACGTCTCACGACCTGTGAACAGGAAGGTCATGACAGCTTCTTATCTGCTGTGCCTTCGCTATGGCAGGTGTAGGAGAAATGGACGGAGGTTGTTTGTGCGACGGATGCCTACTTTGCCATTTCTCGACTTTGTAAAAGTAAGATGTCCATGTGAGAGCAGTTTCTAAGGTTTCAGGACATTGTGCTCCAAGAAATTTCTAACTAGGCTTTAGATATTTTTTAATTGATTTTTATGACAAATTCTCTGTGGCGTAGCTCAATTTATTACCGTGAGCTACTACACCGTCATTTGAGGCTGTGTTCAGCAAAAGTTAGCCTTAGTCAGGACTCTGCCTTGGTCACGCTGGGCACCTTAAAGTTGCTTTAGCAGTCAGTTTTAACAGCAATTCATCGTTTAAGTTTTTTTTTTGAAGCCACAAGGGTTTAAGAAGTTATACTTTAAGTTTCTACCATCCAGTGAAAAATTACACGTTTGGTTTTGACAAAAGTACTTTTCTATGATTATCCCAGTGTGTTTTTTTTTTTTTTACCATTTCAGTTGGAATCAGTTTAAAGATTTGAGCAATATCAAGTCTGTTTGTAAATACTTCCAGCTGTGCACATGAGACTGAGACTTTTAATAGGATAATAAGTTTTATTAATGGTCAAAAGTGTCACAAAGAACATCTGCCTGGCAGATGTTCATGAAAGAAAATAGTTAGTTAATAGGTACTTGGCTCTAAGGACAGGACATTCTGGACCTTATGAAGGCAGTTTTAAGTTTTCAGCTTTAATATAAATTATTCTCTCATCACAGCACATATTTTTCGTAGGGTTAAAATTCTTCTCTTATCTCTCCCGTGCTCGTCCTGGCCAGGCACCTTATCTTCAGTGATGTGCAGGAGCTTGAACTCTGAAGTCACTTGGCTCTGATTTCACGTCAGTGTGAATTAAATTCACTCTAAAGTCGAAGCTTTTTTTTGTTTGACTCTAATAATTCTTTTTTGTTTTTTTTTTTATGAAGAGAAAAGGACAAACTCGTGATTCACCCCTGGTTGTTTTCATTTTTTAGCGATGCGATGTCTTGAAACAGCGATTTATTTTCCCCTCATGTAGTGATGGTGAGTCACGCAGTCGTACGGCAAATGGTCAGGAAGACTGCGGTCCAGCGTCTGCAGGTTGGAGCGCTGCCATGTAGACTCAGGTAGATAATCTATTTCCAAAATGACTGCAGAGGAGATTGTAACTGGACTGATGAAAACACAAGGAACACAGATTATAGACTGCCAACTTGTGCAAAAAAACAAAAAGGAAAATCCACGTAAAAATATTTATTATAAAAATAATTCTCTACCTGCTCATTTAAGTATTTCACTTTAAAAATTACCTTTTGGTTTTTCCTTATTTTTTCCTTATTTCTTTTTCATTTGTATTGTCTTTTTAAAATCTCTTTAGCCCCAATGAGAATGTAAAGATATACAGTGTCAAGTCTTCGTGCACATTCTAAACACCAAGGATATATATTTTTTTCCCCTGATATAGATTTGAGCCCTTATAGAAGACTCCGTTCACCTGCCTTCAGACACATCAGACCCAGTGTGGGTTAACATCACAGCCTATCTCAGTGAATGGGGCCATTCACGGTAAAGCAAAGACAAATATTGGCCAAACCTTCAGCGTTTATATCAAATTTTTGGTTGTTCAATTCCAGGAGCTGATGCCTTCAGCTTGGGCCATAACTTATCTGGCTGGCGAGGCCGTAAACGTAGAGTTTGTTGACATAACTGTGAAGAGGACTTCATGGTTTCACACTAGGTCACTGTGTGCTGCCCTCCACGCGGCCGTGTCTTTGGATCTCAGCTGCAGGAAACGTCAGACGCTTTACTGCTTGTCACACATTTTGCGCTTTAGCAAAACCTAAAAAAGAGGACGGTTTAGCCGTGAAAGCAGCGTGATTAATTGGTGGAGCTGGGGTTGGACGTCGGTGGTGCGGTTCACTCTGGATGCTTTAACTGATGCAGAGTTGGAGGTGATGTGAGCCGTTTAACTGGTAAAAGCCTCGATCAGTGCAAATGGTCATTCTGACTCTGGGAAATGAGGTGTGCTCCGGATCAATACATCAATTAATGGTTTTTGGAAGTCACGTTTGCACTTAAGCGTTTTAACTTTTATCATGGGCTCAAAAGACTTCCTTCATGGGTCTGGAAGGCTTGTAATGTTAATGTGTGTGTGGAGGTGGGGGGGGGGTATTTGGAAGAGGGTGAGTGTGTGGTGTTACATAATTCACTGTGGTGTGAAGCGGCACCTTTAGCACTAATGTGCATTACACATTATTAGTTCCTCTTGTTTCTGTCCACAATAAAAGCCTAAGAAAAATAAATTACAAAATAAATTACAAAATATATCTGAGATGTTAACTGTGCAGAAAAACTTTTTTTTACTTTCAAAATATATATTTTAATAAATAAAAAGCACAAAACAGAGCAACAAAAGTGGCGATAAATTCCTTTTTGTTCCCCCTCTACCCACAGTGTAGTGATGTACCCCACGGGAGACCCGCCCCCCACTTTGGAAATTAGTTGTTTGACCTGACATGGCAGTTTAAATTCCGACCCAGTTTTTCTTAATGGCTTATTTAAAAGAAACCAAATCCTTTGAAACACCTTTAATGTGAGGTTTACAGTAGTTTTCCTCTCACTTCATGTCAGGCTCTTGAACCGACACTTGTGCGGAGCAGAAATACATATAAGTTTATGTCATCATAAATATCACAGCTGCATATATTTACTGTTGCATGTGAACTGACGGCGTATACTGTACACTGATGCATCCATCTTAAACCACTTATCCTCCAGAAGGTAATATGAGCCATTTACTGCAAAGGCTGGGTATATGGCCAGGTACTCAAGTACAGGTCATCATTTAATGGCTGGTATTATAACGGAAAAAAAACACAAACTCTGTGGATAAATGTTAAAAAGAGTTTTCACCATATTTGTGTACTTTTTGCTTTTTATAAATCTGCACCTGCTGCTTTAAAATGAATCATCAAAACTCTTTGTTTTTTCATGAAAAGAAGAATTCTTTGTTAGGTAATGGTGCAAGTGATCTGATCTGATCTGAAATGCTTCGAGATATTTTTGCAAAATGAAATCCTCACAAAAAAAGGAACAAAGCTGCACTATGTGTGAGACATAAAACCGCTCAGTGAGGCGGATGTGACCTCTGTCGACACAGACTGATAATTGTCTCCCGTAACATTTCCAAATTTTCTGGGTTTTATTGTACTTCAAAACAAATGTCAGGCCCATGAATGACTCACACTTCACTGCAGGCCACAGAAACAGATCAAGAGGCTGATCATTAAAAAGACAGTGCTGTTCTGAACCTCCCTTTGGGCATGAGTGACTTCACCCTCTCTGTAGTTGACTAATAACTGTAGTAATTGTTGTTTTTTGTTGTGATCAGAACATGTTCCTCTCTGTCTCCCTGCAGCTTGCCTGTTCAGGTACAACGCCCTGTCCTTCGTCTATCTCGTCTATCTGCTGCTTATTCCACTGTTCGCTGAGCCCACGAGCACGTCAATGCAGGGTAAGTTGTGCACTGAAGCTCCCGTAACACTTACACAATCTAGTGCTTTTTGTTGTCCGTGGTCTAAGTATTTCCTGAAGCCCCCCCTCCCCTCCCACTGAGCCCCCTTTGGATTGAAGTACTAGGTTTTCTGAAATCCAAGACTCCTGGGAGCCTGGATTTGGTTGGAGTAAGGATGATTTTGGCCTGTAGTGGAGTTCATGAAAGGTAACATGAGTTAGCGGTGGCATGATTTCCTTCTGAGATAATATTAATGCGCGAGCATGCGGATCTTAAGTAAAGAAACCACGGCGTGTGAGAGTCAGCCAGCACGAGGATTTAGCTCAGATAAATGTTTCAGATACTGCCAGTGTAAATCGAAACAAAACTGGAAGAGATGAAAACGGAATATTTTGGTGACAAAAGATCTGCAGAAGTCTAGTAAAGTGGTGGAAAAGGAAAACTGAGTGAGCTCATAGTATCAATGATCTGTGAAGAAACAAATAAAGAAACAAAAAAAGTCATTTCAGACATACATTTTTAAAGGTATCTTGCGTTAAATCTTCAGCCAATGCTGAGGCAGAACTGTTCTGATTCAGAGAAGAGTCCAGTGACGTCCACGACGTGTGTGTGTGTGTGACTGCTGTGGGATTGTGGTTGTCAAGTTGTGCCACACCTTTATTCACCATCCTCACCACAGAACTCAGCACACGTCTTAAGACTCTCATCGTAATACTGGTGTGTACAGGAGACCACATGCAGTGTTTAATAATACATCAAGCCACATCGGCACGGGGGAACAACATCCAGGCCGAGAGCCATCCCGGCTCACCTCCAGCTGAAATAACAGTCAGGAAGTAAAGGAGGAAGAGATGGGGGAGGGGAGGAGGGAGGGAGGAAATAATATGGACCACTTACACTCTCATCAATAGTTAAAGAGAGAGGTTTTTTCTAATAAAGCCCAGCGTATCAGATAGCTGTCGGCTTTGACAGTTATGTCAGAATTGACAAGCTCTCAGGAAAACATGAGGTGGGAGTGAAGCCCCCAGGTCCATTATGTCTGTGATTACATGATTACTGACCACAGTACACTGCCAATTTACATAACAGGGATTTAAACAGCCCCCTCTATAGGTGATTTTAGGAGCTTTAAGACCTTTTACTGTTTCTCTGATTCTCTTTTCCAGAGGTCACCCAGGTGACTTTCAGTGTTTTTGTTCCCCTCCAGATTAGGATCAGCTAAATGATGCTGGATTCCAACGCAGGTCAAGTGGCCACTGGACAATCAAATGATCTACATAGCTAAAAAACCAAACAGAGCAGCTAAATTAACTACAAATGGTAAAAAACAAAGTGGCAGACATATTAGGAAGTCAGAAAAAAAGAGGTCTGCAGTCTGACTGGCTGATGCCAGATGTTCACTTAGCCTCAGCAGCCCTGTTAGCCTGCCAACAGGATGGTGCTGATTCATAAAAAAAAAAATCAAACTATATTCATAGTTATGTATACTTTACTAAGTAGCCTTTGTGTATTTTTCAAAAATATTTTTTAAATGCGTTGTATGACATTCTGTGTCCAGAATAACAGGAACTCACAGTCTTTTCACTTCCTCTGGATCTAATACACAGTTGATACTTATTTTGTCATTACATGTAAAGTATTTTCATTTAATTGAAGCACTGCGAGATTAAAATACTGTAATATAATAATTTCACACAATAGTTAATTAATTGATTCATCTCAACACATCTCAGTTCTTATTGTAACACAGAGGTAAGGAATATACAGAGAGAAAAGAGTTTGTGAGTAAATGTATTTCACACTAACGCTCTACTTTCTGTGATTCTACTGTAGTAAAATTCTAAGCAGTATTTTTCCTCCTTAAAGTAGTTTAAGCTTTTCACACACTGCAGAAAGCAGCAGAGTTTCTGTTACGAGACCAGGATTTGATAAAAATCAGACGGTCTTTGGGGAACAAGCGGTGACTATTACACTCCAACAATGGCTTCTGTGTGGAGAACTTCTGACTTCACAGTGGGGGCAGGTGTTTTCAGACCCAGTAATGGAGTGAAGCTCAGAACCCACTCTGAGATGAGCGTCAGGAAACAATGACAGATGGTCGCCAGACAATAAAAACCTAACGTTACAAAAGGAGGAAAAGGAAATCACAGCTGTTGATAGAGATGAGACCATTTTAGACTTTACACTTCTTATTTATACACTTTATTTTCTTTCCCTGTCGAAGCCCGGGGTAACGTGGAGGATTTACTGCAAATTGTTTTCACTTCCACATTTAACAGGGCTGCCTTGTTGTGTTGTTGTGCACAATGTGGCTCCGCAGCTCAGTAGTAGTTCTTCACCTTTGCCAGAGACTAACGCCACAGAACAGTGAAACAATTGTGTGTTTGCGGCGAGGTTAAGGCAGCCCAGGTAATGAGATGATGATGAAGATGAAGATGAAGACCAAGCAGCAGTGGGTAAAACGGCGTGTTCTCCTCTCCCTTCAGCTGTGATCACGGGAGAGTTTTGATCCTTCCGACATTAAACACAGCCATAAAGCTCATCCTCCCTGTGGGACAAACAGTTTCATTTTAGAAATAAGATTTTATTGTCTCAGAAAGATTCCCACCGTGGAGAATTATCTCCACAGCAACTCTTGAAATTACACCAAATACCTGTAGGCACACTGTAAAACGTCCCATGTGTTGAGCAGCTGTGTGAGCTGCAGCTGCAGCAGCACTGTACACACACACACACACACGTGTACTCTCATCCCAGAGTACAGTACAGAGCACTTCATTTGTACTCTCTGCTGTTCCCAGGTGATAACGCCATTTTTAAATACTAGCATTTCTACTATTCAAATCAATATTCAAAGATTTTTATTTTAAAAATGACCCAGAATTCTCTGTTGGAAGTGTTTAGACTTGATTGGAGGATATGTTCAGAAACAGGTTTGTTATTATCTTAGGAGAGTTGTATTTGTTTTTCTTTCTGAAGGAAATACTGTTTTTATATTTGCAGTATAAATTAAGCTATACTGCACATATATGGATAAACAAAGTAATTCAATGGTGCTCTCCTTTTTAAATTTCTGCTCTTTTTTCTAGGCTGATTTTGTCATAAATTGTTATTTAATTTAACACCAGGAGTGAGGATGGGAGGGAGAGACCACAACATAGATGAATGTGTTATTGAGTCATTTCTACATGAACTAGACTCCGTGATCTCCTCCCTTCTCCTGTAGAAAACCCACAGTGTGTCCAGGTTCAAATCCAGTCCTTCATCTGCCCTCACAGATGTGAAGAATGCAGAAACACACAACACACCATGTGGAAACCCTTAAACTAAGAGCGACCTTTTCTTCTTTTACTCCAGGCCACACAGGGCGTCTGCTGCAGTCCCTGTGTTTCACCAGTATGTCTTTCCTGCTGCTGCACATCGTTTATCAGATTACAGTCAACAGCCTCCTGGCCGGGAACTCCATCAGCCCAGACTTCAACTGTGAGTACAGCGAGCCGCCAAGGCCGCGACACTGAAGGGTGTGAGGTTTGTTTAGGTGCCGTATCCAGACATCCCAGCAGCCCAGTCACATCATCTCACTCAGGCTCCCAACATTGTTGTTGTTAAAACTTTTTTAAACTATTGTTCCAAACATTTTAAGGAGCAGTATGTTGCAAAAAAGGAGTCTGGTATAGAGGGGAAAACAATGTAAATTCTGTTAATTATAGTTTTTAAAATGACACGTTGTGGAGTTAAAGTGACATATTCTGCCAATATAATGATTTTTATAGCACACTTTATAATTAATTGTAAGTTATTTTTAGTTTGTTGTTGTTAAAACTTTTTTAAACTATCGTTCCAAACATTTTATAGCACACTTTATAAGTAATTGTTAATTAATTAATTGTAAAAAGTTATTTTTAGTCTTGTGTAACATTTTTGTCTTCTAAAAAAAACAAATAACCCCAAATACCAGGAAACAAATTAGGACTAAAAGGTCAAAAGGTCCCTGACCCTTGTTTTACAGTTATAAATAAAGGTCAGTTTGTTCAGATTGACTGGAGATATAGAAAAGTCCCCGGAAGACTCTTCTTGGAGAAGGAGAAATAAATCCAGAAAAACAATATTGTTGATGTCAGAAAGGTCTAGATTTTAGCTGAAAACAACAACCAACAGACAGCGTTCAGGTAAAGGGCCTACGGGCAGGAAGGTGAACCTGATTGGCCCTGGGTTGAGGTCAGTGAAATTATGAATAACACATTATCCGTGTCATTTAACAACACAGTTGTTGAAGGAGTTACTGAGCTGTAAGAACTGCAGAGAACAGCTGTTGGATCGAAGTTTTCATTGTACGTTTAATGAGGCACACGGTGATGATGAAGAGTGTTATATCACGCACACCCACACGCAGGATGATAAACCAAGTGAGGATGTCATAAAAAAACAAATGTGACCGTGTGTGTTACTTTATATTCATATATCAGGACAGCTTCTCACTCAGGGATGTTATTCGGACGTCTGCAGCTTTTAAAGAAACCTTTTTTCACGTATCCTGCGACAGGAAGCCAAACATTACTGAAGTACACTTGACCCACCTACATTCTAAAGGGAAAGGCCTTATCTCAGATTTCTATATCTGGTGTTTAACCCCCCCTGACACCCTTTTCCTTTTTGGCAGCCAACTATACACAAAGTGTCTCACTTCATCGTCACGCTGTTGTCCCCACCCGACCGCGGTGACTGTGTATAATTTCCTCTCTTCGCTGTAGACAAACACACCGTTCGAGGAGTAAACTGAGCGCAGTACAAATGAGAAAACCTCTCTCACAGCAGGCAAACACCCCCAGCTGTTAGCGTAGGTCAGGGGCTGCGCCGACACCCGACCAGGAGGAGTCTGTTTTCTTTAGAGTCGTCTGTCATTCCTCTCTGCTGACTCACGCCCGTGGGAAGTGCATTTACTCCTTCTTGTAAAGTTTTGTGCTCACAATCAGAGAGCACCTGACGGGTGGTGCCGGCTAACCCCCGACCCACTCGAGTGATGTCACTGATAGAAACACACGCCCAACCAGGCTCCACTGTGATCATTACGGAGGTTTGTAGACCCAAAAAAAGATCTTCAGAGCTGAACACATAACTGTGTGTCTCCTACAAAAAGGTGAGGGGTTTAGAGCGGGGAGGGGAGGGGGGCACAATAAAACAGTTCGTTCTGAAGCATCGATGCTGTTTTGTAGGTCAGACCTGTGTAAACAGGATATGTAAAGACGGCTGTTGTGATAAATGATCTAATCTAATCTAAAAACAAATCTGATCTAATCTAATCTGCTTTCAGATAATTAGCAACAAACATGTCTGTTTTGACCCATATCAGTCAGGAACTCATGTTCACAGGCTTTCGCTTCATATTTCTGTCGTGCTCCAAATGTGAGTCACGGACTGACCTTCCCTCCAACCGTAGATGTTTTGATGATGTGGTGAGAACGTGCTGAGAACTGGACACTGCAGTGTAAGGTTAACCAGTGAGGTTAACAGACCAGCAAGTACAGTACAAACGGAGTTTTATGGCGCCCGCTTCAGACACAGCCTCAATTAGATGAAAGTCCTAGAACGCGACACACTGTTCCTACGATGTTCCACGGCCGAACTGGGCGTTTGTAACGCAGTTACTCTGAACTATTTGTAGACAGTTGTTTTTTTATTGATCAAAATTAAATATATTACTATGTTTGAAGAACACTACAGTTTTTTCAGATGATACAGATAAATAAAATATAAAAATATATAATAAGAATAGAAAAATTGTGGATTTGAATAGTTGTTTTAATAAGACTTGTAGGTTGATTTCACGAAATAAAAAACATTTACTATATATTTACTTTTATTGATGTTGTTACGATTCTGTTTACTACTGCAGGTGTAAGGGGGGAAAAAAGAAGAAATTCATCATGTAGTGCAGTATCATTATGGTGCAAACTGTCACTGAGATGTTATTGTACGGCTGAGACTGGTGCTCACAATTTCTCTAATGAAGTTCTTTATAGTCGTCGCTGCCTGGGAGCCAACAATAAACCGTCGGCTCATTATACCACAAAACAGAAGCACACAGACGGTTAAGCAGCTAATTCATTACCCATTACCCAAACAGAGGAGCAGGAAACATCCGTAAATCTCCTGGTCCTCATCTCCGAGTCACAACCAGGTGACATGTTTCTACTCTGGCAGCAGAACAAAAGCCAGCCGTCCGTCGTCGACCATCTCCGCTGTCGACGTGAGCGTCTGAAAATTTCCCCTCTCTGTTCCTGAGCTCCGCTCGGACGTGTTGGGATACATAACAAATCCAAGCTGTGGAAACAGAGCACACATGACACAGAGGTTATCCCAACACTGACCACACTGACACCGATTGTTTTCCTTCACCTGCATATTTTTATTTATTATAATATAAATTATTATAATTTTAGTTTTTACAAATATTTAAAAGCATTTATTTGTAAATCATGTGATATTTAATTTCAATTTCTGTCACGCTTCAAATACCATCTTTGTTTCATACAGATTTAATCACAGCAGAAAGCCTTCAGTTTGAGTTGGAGCCTGAAACCGTGACCTCTGTCTTCTTGCCCTAAATTAAACCTAACTTACGTCACGGCGTCTCCACGGCTGCCTGTGATCTGACCTCTGAATGACCTCCATTACATGTTGCCTGGGTTTGAATAAAAGATCTGGATTTTTTTTTTTTTTAATGCAACCTTCAGTGACATTTCCACACAGGTGACCTTTAGCTACCTTTCAATCACTGATAAAAAAAAAGAAAAGAAAGAGAAAATACAGTTTGAGAAATCTCTGCTACTAAAAAAGGCACCATTAACTTCTAATGACCTTTTAAGGGGAAATAAAGGGATGGCGTTCGTGCGAGTGAAGGTTTATTTTCTCTAAGGTATTTCCTGTGTAGTGAGAACAAAGCTCTTTACACCCAAAATATTTCCTTGGACTAAAATCTTTTGTATTTCCTTCTGTCCAGGTTCAACATGGGAGAAATCTATACGACAAATTGGGTTTGAGAGGTAAGAATTGTGTATGTAAATGTTTATAAAATTAGATATTTGACATTTAGCTAATGCCTTGTCGGATTTCTTTCTTGTCTAAAAATGCGTTCGTAATTTTTTTTATTTTTTTTATTGAAACGGTTCATTCCCCAGTTTTGGCGTTAGGTCAGAGCTTCACCTTCTCACAGTGAGGTTCAGACTTGGCTCAGGTCAGTGAGTTCTGGCTGATAAACCTAACAGTCAGCACTATCATTTCTCATAAATATCACAATAGCTCATTATATATTGAATTGTTAATGACAGCTCCAACGGTAATTTTTTTTCCTTTGAGGTCAGCAAACAGAGCGCCACAGAAATTGTTAAATCTTTTTGTCAATCTTTTTTCACCGTCTCCTCACGTGTCTCCTCGTTATTTCCTGAATATGAGAATGTCCAATAGCAGCCGTTTCACTGCTGTGCATCCACCTACTTATCCACAGTTTACATTGTCAAGTCCATCCAGCTGCACAGGCCGACGCTTTCAACTCAAACTTCCTGTTTTGAGGGGGAAAAAAGGCAAAACTACCGACAGATGCAAACTGTCTCCAGATGTCAAACTCTGGAGACAGTTGTCATAGAGATTCTTTCAGAGCATAAACTCATTAAATTTACTACCACTAAATATTTATACCATAGAAGACATGTTATGTTCCGTTCATTGACTACATGTCTTTGCATCCAGTGGAAGTGATGATACGAGGTCATTCTCTCACATGGTACACCCAGCAGCTGGCTCTGCCCTGCCTGCTTTCCATCTCTTTCACCCGTGTGAGGGTGGGCGGAGCCTGGAACAATAACACACATGGAAAGAGACGTCCTTGATTAGATTTAACCTGCCGAGGCCGACCTGTTTATCTGAGTGTGAATATTCCGCTGTGGGGATCAATACTTTCTTTTCAGGTCGTTACCTTTAATGCGGTCCATTCAGGGCCGCGCTGTGATTGGTTCTATTTATGGAGAGAAGGTGTTTTATGTCTCAACCCAAACGACGGCTCAGCCTTTCTTTTCAAACTATCAATACTTATAAACCATGCTGGGAGGAGGCGTGTTATTGTACGTTTATGATGGGTGAGCACTTTGTAAAAGGCGTCCTCAGTCCGTCAGGGGTCAGGGGTCAGGGCTAAATTAGGGTTCAGACGGTTCCCTGTGTGCCTCAGTATTGACAACACACCTTGTAAAAAAAAGAAAATGAATGTAAAAATAACATTAGACTTTTTTGTCATTCATTAACAAACATAGAAATGGCAATTATTTAAGTTTTTAAATTAAAAAAAATAGTTGTGAGTTGTGGTTGTATGACCAGCGGCACTTTCGATTAAAAATAATTTGGCTTTGCCCTAATTAATTTCCTTTCTCCATTATGTTCTGCAAAAAAAATGCAGACCTGAAAAAAGATCACTCTCATCCTGTACCATCAACATTTGTAAAAAATATTCGGCTGAAAATGTTTTGGTATTCATGTGTGTTTAAAGGGATAATCAATAATCAAAATACTAAAAATGATCAGATTTTATTTTTTTCTTTCAATCTTTGCAAAGAATTATTCATCCAATAACAAAAAAAATTCAGCTCAGTCATTGCAAGTTGAATGAGGACAGAACTTGGCCGTTCTGTCCATGTTGTTTGTCTCTTTTGTTAAATGGTAACAGGAGTGGAATATTGGGACAGAGAAAGGGAGAAGATGTGACAAATATTTATGGATGGATTCAAAGTGAAGACAGCCCAGTGTTTATGGACGCCGTCCAAGGGAACACGAGTCCCTGAATTTCTCAGAAAAATTCTTTGATGTGGAGATTGATCAGCCGTTGGCAGCCGTTGAACTCTTCCATCTGCACCATGAGCCTGACATGCGAGATGATATCGGGAGCCTTTTCTGTCAGCGTACATATCCTCAACTTTGTGTTTGTCCACAGCGTGATTGGTGCAGACGCAGGAAATGGCATCCGAGTGTTCATCCCTGACATCGGCATGTTTATGGTTGGCTTAGCCATTTGGCTGCTGTGTCGCAGTCTGGTCCAGAAGAGGCCGCCTGAGGACATGGCACAGTACAACGCCGACTTTGACGCAGAGGAACAAGTGGGTTTCATTTATGGCTACATGGAATCTTTGATTCCCTGTTTTTCTCTTTTTCCGGCCTCTGGTGACATTCCACCTGATCTGTAGTGTGTGTGTGTGTGTGTGTGTGTGTTTACTACTATGTTTTGAAGTTATTTGGTCATAGATATCACACTGGCACTGTTGAACTCTGTTGAACTGGTGACAGATTCACAGGTATTTCTTCAAAACTGAATATATATTGTAAACAATTAATTCCTTACAAAACATATATATTAATTGTAAATTAATAATAAATAAAATTACAACTCAGTGCATTTGTCCCCACACAATTTTAATTAAATGAGTCTGCAGTAAAATCAAGTAAAAACACATCATATGGTATTAAATTAATTTCTAACCTCACACACAGATACACACGTATGTTTAGTTTTCATCCGTCAAGCGTCCAGGTCGTCAACAAGGATGTTGTGCTGCTTCTCACATACATTTTACTTTGTTAACACAAACGAGCAGAGCAGGAGAGATGACTGTGAGTGTTAATGAATTGGAATCACACCCGCACCCCTCCACCCTCCACCCTCCACCCCCTGGTTCCCTGGCATGTCCTCCTCTCTCTCTTTATGACTCAATGTTAATTAAAGCCACATTCACTTTTACTTCCACTCGTCTAAATGTTGCGGCTGCTAATGCTGCCACAGATGGCTCCCCTCCCCATTACTGAGAAACACCACAAAATATATCTCCAGTCGTCCTGTGCTGCAGTCGGGTTTTATCTCTTGGAGCGAGCCTTATGAACTGAAACTGCCATTTGTTTTAACACGGGACCTTAACCACCTGCTACTGAGTCTCTCAGTTTGTTGCAGTTAATTGTCCAGATGTTATATTTGTTTCATTTATATTACAATACCATAAATAACAATCAACACAGTAACTGTATCCACAGAATGTTTGTTAACCTCACCTCAGTTTGATGATTGTGTTCAGCTCTGACAGACCAACACTGATTAATGTTTGTCACGTCCACAACTAAAGGAGGAAGAGGAGAAGCTTAGCCTGGACGACAACATCCTGCTGGAGGAGGACCTTGAAGCAGGGTACGAGGCCGGGGAGGATGAGGAGGATGAGGAGCTGATCGGAGAGGAAGGAGTTGAGGCGGAGGAGGAGGAAGAAGAGGAAGAGAAAGAAAGTGCCAAGATGAAGGTTCTCCGCATTGTGGCGGAGGTTGCTTCAAAGGGGAAGGAGATCATTGGGAATTTGATCACCACTGCAGGAAAGGTGGTGGTCACCATCTTGTTGGGCATGACAGGTGAGCTGCTGTGAATGAAGTGGTTGAATTGAAGAAAAGGTTTCAGCTGGGAAACACGGAGGACACGTCACCCTCTCAATGAACCCCAAAAATGAAGCCATGTTCATTAGATTTAGCCAATGAGTAAAGCTTTGAAACCTTCAGCTGTGTTTGAACTGCTCTGCCCAGTGGGTTGAAACACTTTAGGGTGTGTGTTGTTTAGAGTACACTACAGGTAAGAGGTAGACTGTTAAAGGCAGGAATGAATAATTAACTGTTATCCACAAAATATAAACCACTAAGAATATTTTTCTCCCTCATCCTCAGGTGTCATGCTGCCGTCAATGACCTCAGCTGTGTACTTCTTCATCTTCCTCTTCCTCTGCACCTGGTGGTCACTCTGTCGGACCTTTGACACGCTCATCTTCAGCTGCATGTGCGTCCTGATGGCCATCTACAGCGCTGGCCACCTCATTGTGCTCTACCTCTATCAGTTCCAGTTCTTCCAGGAGTCCATTCCACCGGGCGACAGTTACATCAGGTGTGTCTGCTGTTCTCCTCCAGAGTATTTCTGTGCATGTGTATGAAGCAACAACTTAGTAAGTAGTTCTCATAGAGGAGGATGGATTAGATTTAGGCCACAACACAGAGTCGGAGTTAAAGTCATCAGTGTAAATGAAGCAGAGCGATGCTCCTGCTCAAACCCACACTGATGCTCACTAATGTAGAAATACCGACACCACAGGATGATGGAGCACCGCAGTCACGGCTCCTTTCACTAAACAGTATCTGTGTAAACTCCAGAACGTTTGTTTAAACATTAATAAATATTTACTGTTGTTGCAAACAAGAAGGTGAAGGGACCGAGCAGCGCAGCTGCAGGCAGAGGTGTAACTCCTACTCTCAGAGCATCAATATCACAGGCAGCACTCTCTGCCTCTCCACCACGGCCCGTGTTGTTTTATTATGCATGGGAGAGGAGACAATCAGCTGCCTGTGGCTGCAGCGGTAAAACATTGTGGTCTGAGTGAAACCATAGCTTTGCATTTCTTGCCAACGTGTCGGTCACAGCTGTAATGAAAGCAGACTCCGTAGCGGGGACTTCGTCGGTCGTTGAACTGACAGCCAGGTCTGCAGTTTGTTTACTCGTATAAACCGGCAGCTGAGCTCCCACGTGTAATTAAAGTAAATTATTTTATAACCAAGCTGTCGATTTAGTTATCATTGGGAATAATTAGGTCCATAAATCAGTGAAATAAACAAGACGCACGATGAGAAGAACAAATGATACAGATTAATTCACCATTTATTTACTGTTGTTGTCTTTGAAGTTAATAGTTTTTACCAATCTACATATATAGATATATATTTATATATTTAAAGATCACTGGTGTGGTTAAAGTATGTCTAATATGTCTGTGAGACAGTAGACTCCAGTCCTGCGTGTTGACATTGACGTGGCCTTGCTGCAGAGCCTGTGTTGAGTGAGGCTGTTGACTAGCCTAACTTCCTCCCTGCTGTACAATGGAAATCCCCAGTCATGTGACTAGCTGCAAAAACAGATGTACCAAAGGTATGGTATGGTCGAGGGTCGGGTGGTGTGGGTCAGTCCTGCGCTTGGCTGGAAGAGAAGACTCTGGATGCTCATAAGTCTGTTGTTGTTGTCGCTGGATGATGTCGATGTGGTTCCTGTTGAGGACGTGACCTTTGTTCCCTCTCAGAGCCAGGCCTCAAATCCTGTCACTTCTATTGTACAAACGGCCGAAGTGAATCAACTTCTTCTTGAAGATTCTGATTGTGTTGCTTTTCCTTTTTTTCAGAGCATCAGTGGCATAACTTTACACTAGTCTGATTAAATCCATTTCCTTCTGGACTGTTCTAAAACATGGGCCTGGGGTCCCATGAGGCCCATTCTGCTGCATAATATTATTATGTAAAAATTGCCTGATGTAATGTTTAAGAAGACTTTTAAATCACAGTGGAGATGCAGTAAAATATTTTTTAATGTTTTATTTTTGGCAATGACTCGTGACCAAAATTATAAATTCACTTATTGCAGATGGGTTAAATTGACATCCAGTAAATTCTATTTATCATATACAAAATTTCAAATTATATTACTGTTACTGTTCATTGAAAAATCTCAGTATAATTCTTCATTCTAAAATGCTGCGCTGGTATAAAGTGTTATTACAGGAAAAGTACACAGCAGCGTACAGTCAACATGAGTTGATATCAAAGGTAAAGAATGAATTTGCAATTAGCAGTGACAATAAACAGTGGCATAGCAACCAGTGTGTTTAATTCTTAGGATATGAACTTATTTATGATATGTAATAAAACCTAATGTTAACCTCTGAGAGTAATAGGAAATCTCTCTATAAAAATAAAAAAATCACTACACAAATTCATGTCCAGCTGGCATTTGACATTTATGATGTAGTTCTTATGACTTTTTTTAAATTATTTTTTTAAGTATATTTGTATTGTATTTATTGAAATACGTTGAAACACGTTTACATCACCTCTGTTATGTTGGCTTCATTTCAGGAAATAATAATTAGTTTCCAAGATTAAGGTCCAGGGCTGAGTGATGATGAGTGATGACTGGAGCGGCACACTTACCCTAATGAGAGCTCATCTACTGATGGAGAAGTTGGGTCCAGTTCACAAAAGATTTCAGCTGAAAAGTCTGGTCAGATCACAGACATATTGAGGCTCGATTCACTTAACCCAATGAGAGCAGCTGGAACTATTGATCAAAGTAGATCATTTTAATTTACACAATTAAAAAAATAACAATAGGGAAGAATAGACTTACAGTAGCTTTAGTCACACATGGGAGTTAATGTATATGTGTAGCTCCCTTTGACCCCTGTAGGAGGTGCTGTTGAAAGAGTTAGGATGCTCTTAATTTGGATACAAATGGCATATATAACTATAAAAAATAGAAATAAGACAAAGAATAAAATCAACCTCGTTTGTCAGAATGACCTCTTCATTCCTGAAGCCGTTGTTCCAGTGCAGCACTGTTGGACTCATCATCATTTCCCCACGTGTGTGTTTTTCTGTCACTGCAGTGTGTTTGGCATCTCCCCCATTGTTCAGAGCAACTGCTCCTACACCTGGATGCTCATAGTTCACCCGGACAGAAAGTGGTACCACTTTGTGAATCCCATCATGCTCCTGCTCCTCTACTACACCCTGGCTACGCTCATCCGCCTGTGGCTGCAGGAGCCCATCGAACAGCTGATGGTGAGGAAAATATGCTGCAAAAAAGACAAAGTCACGATAAGAAATACTGCCTTTTTCCCTAAAATCAATAGCACAGCAGGTCAGCATAGTCGTAAGGCATCATACGCAGTGGACCGTGCACTTTTATAGTCGTGTCTTTCTGCAGCATTGTGCACTTTTTTCATTAATGACTGACACAGTAGAAGGTAATTGTGATTTAAAACAGCCGAGATAAAAATGAAAAACAACCAGCTGTGGTCTTTAAATGGTCCATGGTCCGCGTTGGTGACCCTGCAATTTCACAACTGTAATCAGAACAGAAGGAAATGTTAAAAGTAATTGGAACAACAACAGGCAGTAAGACAGATGTGTTTAATTGTGTGTTTTATAATATCATTTCCTAGGAGAGTGAATCATTTTTACTGTCTCTCCCCGAGTTGGAAATTTAAAGAGCAGGAATAAAAACATATTTACATTTCATAACCAGCTTGTATTTAAACTCTTTTGAGTTAAGTTTGGTTAGTGACGGGTCAGGGAGGTTTGTTGTACTCTTGATATATAGTTCAGGAAAAAAAAATGTATTAATGGACTTGTCATGTCAATGCCTAAAGTCCTGCCTGTTTCACCTTCAATTCAGAATTATAGATTAGCATTTTCATAGAGGATCCACACTAGGATCAATTTGATGTTTACGTGTCCTATTGATCTGTCTCTAGGAGTGTGTGTGTGTGTGTGTGTGTGCAGGTGTGTGAGAGAGATTTCTTTTCGTTATTTTGCTCCTGCAGAGACTGACACTAAAACAGCCTGGTGACGTCACTCAGCTGCAGACATTAAGTGTAAATGATGTCACAGAGAATCCGTCTTTAAGGAGATAAAATTACATCAAACACAAACAAAGCAATGGATTTCACTGACAAATTTGTCAAATGTAAATTTTTAAGGAAATTTACGTTTGGAAGGTTGAAATTGTCTTCAAATAATATAATCTTCATATTTATTTAAAACATGACATTTGTCTTTTATTTTCATAAAATAAAAGACAAAAGAGTGAGAAATGCAGCTCTGATTTGAACAACTCTTTTCTTATTTTGTGGGTTTAATCTTTTAACTGTTTCACTGGCCTGAAATACAGGAAAAAAACAACACTAATTCTAAGAATTAGCTCATTCATGACAAACATTTTAATTGGAACGTAGATAACACAGCAGTACCAGTTCATTCTGCTCCTCAGATAGAGCTCTCGTTTGTACGACGAGCTTCTCCGTTTCAAGCTGTCGACTATTGATCCTCCGTCTTCAGTTACACACCGTTTAAAGTGTCTGTCTTTGTTTTTTCAGGATGACAAGGACAGTGACGTGTGTGAGGAGGAGGATCTGGTCGGAAACAGAATAAGTTACTCTGCCAACAGGAAGAGGCAGCGGTGGTGGGAATCACGCCAGCGCACTGATGAGAAAAACGTACGTGGGGGTCAAAACACACGTCCCTGATTGAGAGCAGATCGCCGCACAGGTTTTGAAGTAATAATGCCCTGTAGTCATCACTCAACGAAACCTGTGTCCCTTCAAACGGTGCCACACTGTTCAGGAAGTGAGCGCATTGTTGAAGAGGATGAAGGATTTCCCAAAAGACTTTGAACATATCCTGAAGATCTATTCTGACTTTTGTTACCTCAACCTCTCTTTTTCAAAACAAACATAAATTAATTTCCTGCTCGTATTCCGGCCTGTAACTGAAGTTGCTTTCAGACAGTGTGATTCAGTTGAACAAAATAACTAAAACGGCCTGGAAAAAACGCTCTCATATCTTAATACACAGCAGGAACAACGGGGGGGAAAACACACAGTCTTTGTTGAACTCTGATCTGAATGCTTTTGCTGTTTTCTCTTTCTTATTGGACCTGGAAGGTTCAGCTGTAACTGCACATGTACACACTGACCTTGTTGCCACATTAGGGTGGGCAGTCTCTCTCCCTCTCTCTCTCTCTCTCTCTCTGCTGGCCAACTCTCGAGGTTTAAAAGCTTTTAGGCCCGTGCAGACACAGATGAGCAATGGGCTCGATTTACTATAGTGCTGCTGCTGTTTTGTTCCTGCTTATCAGCGTTTGTAAAGAACAAGGAGGCTTTTGACTTTAGCCGCACATCGATAACGCACCTTGTCTTTGTATGCTCTTTTCTCCTCCCAGCTCCTCTCCACCCAGGATGGCATCAGTACTACTGAGGTGGGAGCTGCTCTGGATGTATCTTAAATTCCTAAATCTCTGCATCTCACGCTTGTTTACCCTTTAACCCCTGCTGCAGAAACAAGAACTCTCTATATATACCTGGAATATATATATATATATATATATATA